CACTCCCTTGCTCAAACCCTAAACTTACCCAACATGCCCTCCGAACTGATTCCTTCACTCCAGCTGCTGATGTGGGTAGCAGACTGCCCCTCCTGCCTTGCCACCCCTCTCTGCACAGGAGCAGCCCCGGCCCACACATCAGGTCCCCCTTTTGAAGACCCTCCCCCAGGTGTTCTCAGTCTTCTGTCCATGCCTGGACTGGCCAGAGTCCAGGCAGTTAGCCAGGCCCAGGCCAGGACCCCCTTGGGCTCTGTCCCCAATCTTCCCCTTGAGGTTCTCTGCACCCTCTTCTGGATGGTGAGGTTGACCAGATCCCCCCAGGGCTCCAAGACTCACATCTATGGGGTTTGGTCCAGAAGGCGCTGGGAGATCACTTCTGCTGGCCTGTGTGTTTCTGTCGCGGAGGTGGGCAGACTGGGCTGCCAAAATGGTGCTGGCCGGAAGCCCCACCCACCCCCGGGAGGGCGGGCAGGGCTGGGGGCGAGGGACGCTAGGCCTATCCCAGCGCCTCTCGCCAGGCACAGCGGGCGTCATCGCGTCCCTGAGCCGCATCCTCACCAAGCTGCTGCTGCCCGACGAGCTCGCCAGCACACTCATCTTCTTCCTGGTGTCCGCCGGCCTGGAGCTGCTCTGCTTCCTGCTGCACCTGGGGGTGCGGCGCAGCCGCTTCGTGCTCTACCACACAGCGGCACAGCCCCGCGACGGCCTCCGGCGCAGCCCGGCCGGCTACAGCGTGCACCACGACGTCGCCGCCGGGGACATCCACCTGGTGAGATCGGGGTGGGAGCACGGGTGCAGCCTCCTGGTCCTCGCGGCTCCTGTGGCGGCGCCTCCTGACCCGCGCTCTCGGTGGGCGCTGGGGTCCCTGAGCCCTGCAGGTGGGCCCTGGGTCCTGGGCGCTCTCTGGTGGTGGCAGGGCCACACAGCCCCAGAGGAACAGGGCCGGGGACCCGACCTCTCTGCCCCGGAGGGCCGTCAGCGAAGAGGGCCAGAATGTTCTCGCAGACTCTGATCCAGCCGGGCACCCAGGCTGCCCACTGGGAACACCAGTGAGCCAGAAACCCCAGTCCCCACAGAGCCCAGAGACCTGGGGTGGGCCAGAGGGTGACGTACTGCGACAAGGCCCACAGTGGAAACTGGGGCCCCCTTAATGGTCAGGGAGCTTCCCTGAGGAGCAGCTTCTGGGCTGAGACCTGACCTGTGTGGAGGGAGAGGCGTGAAGACCCACGGAAAGGGATTGGAGGCAGAGAGAAAAGCAGGTGCAGAGGATCAAAGGCTGCAAGGAGCTTGGTGTACTTGAGGGACCTCGAGGCAGGCAGGGGTGGTGGGACAGAGGCCCCGAGGGCCGACCCCAACCCTGCCCAGCTCCACCTCCCTCCAGGAGCACCAAGGCCCAGCCCTGGCTAACAGAGGGTCCCCTACGGACAGCCCAGCGCACGAGGTGCCCAGCAGCCAGGGGTCCTACACGCGCTTTGACATGCCTCAGCTGAGAGTCAAGCGGAGCTGGCCCTCCCTCAGAGGTGGGCACGTGGGGGCAGGCTGGGCCACGTCCTTGCCATGGGCGGGTGCTGACCCTTACCCGCTGCCCACAGCTCTGCTGCTGCGCCGCTACGCAGTGGCCCGCGTCATCTGGACACACATGCTGTCCATCGCCGTGACATACTTCATCACGCTGTGCCTGTTCCCGGGTCTCGAGTCCGAGATCCGCCACTGCATCCTGGGCGAGTGGCTGCCCATCCTCCTCATGGCCGTGTTCAACCTCTCTGACTTCGTGGGCAAGGTAGGGCCCCACCTGTCCCCACCCCTTCTGGAGGAGAGGACGCCCCAGGCAGGGGCAGTGAGCTGCAGGAGGGTAGACCCTGAGCTGAGGTGCGGCTCCAGGTCGGGCAGGTCTAAGCCGGGTGATGGCACCGCGCCCGTCCATGCCTCAGGGAGGGAGGCCCTCCTGACCCCTCAGGAACTGCTGGCTGTGTCCCCAGGGCCAGCCGTGTGCCCCGGCCGGCGGCGGGAGTGAGATCAGGATGCTGTTTCTGGAGTAGGCCTGCTGTAGGCCTCCTCTAAGTGAATGAATGAATGGGCTGAGGACTGAGAGGGAAAGCCATTCACCTGAGTCACAGAGCAGGGAGACTCCAGTCAGTGCTCTGAGAGGGGGCAAGTTTGGTTAGTGGGGTCCCCCCCACCGATCCTGCGGCTCCCTGTGGTGCAATATGAGGCAACCTGGGTGCTGTGAGGATTGAACGGACCACCCGTGCTGTGTCTGGGTGGGTGTTGGGCGCACAGCAGGAACTGTGTGTCGCTCTCATGAGGGATTTGGTGCGTTTTAGTGACAAAGCTGTGGGAAGACCTAACAGCCTGAGCAGGACAGAGCTGGGAGTGTCTGGGGACAGAGTGGAGGCTGCAGTGGAGATGTGAGGCCGGGTGGGCTCAGGAGAGGCAGGGTGCCCACGTGCTTCGCTCCCCGCAGATCCTGGCGGCCCTGCCCGTGGACTGGCAGGGCATCCCCCTGCTGGCTTGCTCCTGCCTCCGCGTGGTCTTCATCCCCCTCTTCATCCTGTGCGTCTACCCCAGTGGCACGCCCGTCCTCCGCCACCCCGCCTGGTCCTGCATCTTCTCCCTCCTCATGGGCATCAGCAATGGCTACTTTGGCAGCGTGCCCATGATTCTGGCAGCAGGCAAAGTGAGCCCCAGGCAGCGGGAGCTGGCAGGTAAGACCCCGTTCTGCTGGCACCCAGCTGGCCCACAGGACATCATCTCGGGGCGTCTGTCTAGCAGCCCCACTGGACTGCTAGTGCCCCACTGCCAGACGGGGAAACCGAGGTACACAGCAAAGTGCACGGGTTCCGGCATCAGTTGGCCTCAGGCTTCTCGTCACTCTGATTCCTTTATTCTTTGCACAACTGCCTGGTGAACCCGTCAAGACCACTGGGTCCATCCACAGGGACTCATTCGGCCACCAAGGTCCTCCGAGGGCTGCTTGCTGCCCCAGCCCTCCTGCCCACTGAGGCCTGGTCTTGTCTGCAGGGAACACCATGACCGTGTCCTACATGACGGGGCTGACACTGGGCTCTGCCGTGGCCTACTGCACCTACAGCCTCACCCGGGACGCCCACAGCAGCTGCTCCCACACTCCCTCGGCCAACTCCTCCCTCCCCACCGGTCCCTGAGCCAGGCCCGGCCCCAGCCCCGCCCAGGGTGAGCCACTTGGGCCTGACAAGGGGCCCTGAGGCCTGAGCCCCCTCCCCACCCCTGCCTGCAGTGCCTGCGGGGCCCTGGCCTCCTCCCCATGCCAATACCACCGCCCTTTCTGGACACCCCCACCCATCCCTCCACCCACTTCTCTGTGATAAGGGGGTGGGGGAATAATTTGGGGTCCACAAAGCAGGGCCCCACCCCTGGCTGAAGTCAGCTCCTAGCCTAGGCGTTGACCCTCATCCGGTGAGGCCCAAGGAGGGAGATGAGTGCCCAGCAGATGGCTGGAGGGCGGGTCCTGTCCCAGCCTGGACTCTCCAGAACTCCGGGCCAGCCCAGCTCTCCATTCCGAGCTGGGCAGATTCCGCACATCTTGCCAAGGGCAGAATTTTCTGGGGGCAAGATGGCCTGTCTTTCCACACCCAGGGCACAGCTGTGACCACCTGCCCCTTCTGTGCCCCTGTCCTGTCCATCTGTCTGTCCACTAACTGTACCGCACTGGCCATTAAAAGATGAAGGCAGAGAAGCTGCCCACTGTTGCCATGGAGAAGCATGTGTGGGTGGGGCTGCCGCCATCTCAGACCCTGGGAGTGGGGCAGGGGTCCTGGCAGGACGAGGCCCACCTGGCACCTCAGCCTTCCCACCTGGGACGTGGCCCCACCTGCAGCTAGGCCTGGAGTTCCTGGGGGTGGGTGAGGGTAGGCAGCTAGCAGGAGGGCCTCCACCTGCTGGCAGGCTGGACTGGTTTGTGTGCAAGGGTGGTTGGTGGGGTGGGGGCTGGGGGCACTTGGGGTTTGAAGGTCCCCCTAGTTACCCTTTGGCCCTCAGGTCATGGAGAATGGCTATATCCACCCATTTGAAGGGGGGAAAAATGGAGGCAGCCACTCCTGCCCAAAGGGACTCAGAGCCAGTCCTGAGGCTGAGTGCTGGGAGCTCCTGCCCAGGCTCTGAGGCCAACTCGGGTGATTTAGACGAATTCTCATGCTGTCTGCCTTTGTTGCCCCAAGGAATGGGGTTGGCCCACACTTGATGTGGGTCCCTTGGGAAGAGGGGTGGTTAGGAGGGAGGTACTCGAGGCCCATGGCCTCAGGGACCCACCAGGCTGGCACCCAGGCAGACCAAGTGAGCCAAGGTTGCTGGGGGACATGCCACAGGGGCCACCAGGTGGCGCCCACCTGCTGCCAAGCTAGGTGCTTTCGAGAGTTAATGCTTCCAACTACCAAACCCCCTTCACAGAAACAGCAAAGCCCAGAATGTCACCTGCTCCCATCCACACTGACGGGTGTACCAGGACACTGTGTGATGTCCCTGGGGTCAAGCTGGGAGTCGACCTCACAGAGGGAGCCGGTAGAGACCAGGACCCCCTCCCCTCAGGGACGCCACGTCTCCCTCTCCACACTGGCTCAGGACCACTCAGACCATCCGCACTGTCTCTTGGTCTCTAGGTGTGGTTATGGCTGGGGGTGTTCAGCTCCAAATTTTAAAGGAAAGAAAAGGAGAGGCTTGGCTTCCAGCCCTGCACTGGCCAAGAGAACTTTGTGCACTGACGGACACGCTCCCTACCTCGACTGCCCAGCACGGCACCCACTACCCACATCTGGCCACTGGTCTCCAGAACCATGGCTGGTGCAGCCAAGAAGCTTACTTGCTCTTCATTTAAATGAGCTTAACTTTAAGTAGCAACGTGTGGCCAGTGGCCGCTGTGCCGGCCAGCCCCCAGCTCCATGCCCTGGAATGTCAGCCTCCCACCCCTCCCTGCCAGGACCCAACACCAGGCCCGGCCCAGCCCCAGAAATGAACCACTCCAGACAACGTACTTTTCCAATTATAGATTTTTCTTTTTTCTTTTCTTTTTTATGAAAAAAGATCACACAGAATTCGCCAACAAACAAAATTCCAAAAGAAACTTAAAAAACAAAAAGGAAAACAATTCCCCCAAAAAACTAAACCGAAGTCTGGCTTTTCCTTCCCTTAAGATTGTCTGGACGAGGCCTCCGCCCCCTGGAAGGCACAGGGGGCTGGTAAGTGCTCTCAGGGCCGAGCGGGCCGCTGCACTCGGCTGGTCCTCTCCCTCCCTCCACTTCTGCTCTCCCTGACTCCTTCTCCGTCCTGGGGGCACACAGTACACCTGGGCCGCACTAGGGGTGGGTGTGTGCTTGGGGTGAGGGGGGCCCATGAAGCTGGGTGCTAGACACTCACAATCTAACAGGAAATAAAAAATAATATTCTGCACGTCAGAATGTGTTCGCTTTTTTTATAATTTCATAGCTATTTTTTTCACAGTTTTAAAAAGTTTATATTTATATATATTTATATATATTTATCTTTATATATATAATTAAAAAGTTGACTCCATTTAAAGGCGTATGATACAGGGGGGAGAGTCTCTCGGTACAATAAAACTGTACAGGTTGAGAACTGCCGCCTCCCTCTGGGCTGGTTGCAGCCTGGGCAGGGGAGCCAGGGGTGTGGCCAGGGTGAGGGTTTCAGCACCATTGGGGTTGTCTGTAGTGTGAGGGTCTGGAGGCGGCAGGTGGGCCAGGGCCTCACAGGGCATGCAACCCCCTCCACCTGGTGCCTGGCCAGTGCTCCTGGGCTCCGCCCTCACTTGGCTCTGTCCCCAAGTGCAGGCCATCCTGAGAGGGCAGAGGCCGGGCCCCTGGAAGGAACCCCGGGAAGGTCCGGCCTGGCCGGTGAGGCTGATGGGCGTGGGACCACCCTGCCCCACAGTGGGAGCTTGGGGTGAGCTCTGTGCTGAGGTCCTGGGGGTACCCGTGAGCAGCAGGAACCCCAGAGCAGGATTCAGTTTGGTTCCTCAGAAACCCTCTCCCACTGAGTCCGCAGTCAGCATCGGCCTGGGGGCACCCGGGTCTGAGGGCCTGGCCTGGCCAAGTGCTTACAAGGTGCTGGAGGGGAGGCCCCCAGAAAGGGCCCAGCAGAGCCATACCCTGATAGCTGAGAGGAGCCCCTGTCTCAGGGGGCACAGAGGGATTTGGGAAGGGGGGCTGGAGACGTGTGCACATGTGTGCACACATGTGCATGCATACAGGCACACACATGTACACACTCACGTGCGCCAGGGCGTCCACAGGCACACTTTCATGCACACAACTAACGCACGTGGCCCCCGAGCCGTGGCAGTGATGATGAGGGGCCCTGGTAGCCCTCAGGGCACAAGGCAGCTGGCAGGGTGCCGGGCGCTCAGCAGAGCACAGGAACACCGTCAGTGGAGAAGATCATGCCTGTGGTGGGCTCATAGGTGCCCGCAAGGTAGTACAGGCCCTCGCTGTCCTGGTACTTCTTGGTCTTGAGCATCTGCTCGTACTGCTCCAGGCCCACAACCAGGCACTTGTGCGACACGGTCTGCACATCATTCTCATCCACGTGGGAGGATTGGTACAGGGCACGCTGCGGGCAAGACCGCGTCAGGGCGAGCAGGGGAGGGGAGCCACCCTCCCAGCCAGCCCAACCCCCCCAGACTGGGAGACACAGGGACAGAGACCAAGAAACGCAGACCTGAAGAGGAGAGGACCAAAGTGACAGAGACAGACCAGGAGAGAGCAGCTCAGATCAGGGAGGCAGGGAGGACACTCCCCAGGTTGCATAAAGAGGCCTGAGGGGGCGCCCACCACGTGGCTCTCCTACCTCCATGAAGTCCTTCCTCTGGCTGGAGGCCCGCAGGGCTGCGGGGAGGCTGCGCCCAGACTTCTGGTCCCAGGGCTGTGTGTGCACACACACAAAGGTGGTGGTTAGCCCTCACCCAGCCCCAGGCCACAGGGCGGCACTGCCAGGCCTCAACCTCCCGCTGGGCCTCCGGGGCACTCGGACTCTGGCTGACGGCTCACCTGGCCCTCGTGGAGGCGCTTGCCAGGGCTGGTCTCCTCGGGGTGGTAGAACCACTTGACGCGGACCACCATATTGCTGCCCCATGACTCCCACATGCTCTGGATGCGACCGATGTAGGGCAGGTTGGGGCGGCCGGCCGACAGGAACACGGCGCAGTCCCCAATGCGGATCATCTCCTTGCCACGCACGATGGCCTTGTAGAAGAGCTTGCGGGCCTTGCCCTTCATGCCACGGCGCTGCAGGACATGGGCACATCAGGGTGGGGTGCGGGCCCCTGCCCGGTCCCAGAAGCCCCTGCCCTGACTCAAGGGTGCAGCAGGGAACAGGGCGGGAGGAAGCTCCATGCCTGCTCCGACTGGGGTGCCCTCTTTCAGCCCCTGCACACAGGGTCTGTCTGCAGCTGGGGCTCCCAGCACCCCACTCCGGAGCACGGCTGCCACTCAGCTGGTGTTGGGGCTCACCGCAGGCCGACCCTGGGCCCAGCAGTGTCCTCACACGTCCACCTGGGTCCTGACACCAGCCTTCAAGGCACAGCCTGGCCCTTGCCGATACCCAATTCCCAGACAGGAACAGTCAGGTCCGGGGAGGGGATGCAGGTGGTGAAGCCAAGGGGCTCCCGGCTGCACCTCTGATCAGAGCACACTGCCTGCCCCCCATGGCTGTCTCACACACAGGGGCCCCATGAAGCACTCATTCTCTCAGCACATCCCGGGGCCACCCGAGCTCCCTGCTCACTGCGCTCATCCTCCATCCCCAGGGCCCAGGAAAGCAGTGACGAAGGTCAGAGCGGGCCGGCAGGATCCAGCACCGGGCCCATGGCCGCTAGGCTGCCAAGCTGACAGTGAGCTGGGGTTTTACGCCCTCAGCACATGTTCCCTGAAGCCTCAGCGGTACCATCACCTGAGCGGGCTCTAAGGAGGGACCTGACCTGCCATCAGAATCCGAAACACCAGCACAGTGCCAGGCAGCCCCAAGCTCTAACTCACTTTCCCATCTCACAGTGGCTGCCAGGTGGCTCAAAGTCAGCTGTTTTTGCCTAAGCAGGAGAAACCTACATGCTAATTTCCTACCTCATCCAACAGCCCCCTTGTGCTGTTAATTTGTCGGATTCCTGGTGGTGGCAGACGTTTCCATGTCCTCACCACTACAGTGTTTCTAATGTGTTGGGGAAACTGCTCAAGGCCTTTTCAGCTCAAGGCACAGTGTAAACCACTCAAGGTGAAATTCCTAGACCAACCCCTCCCTGCCAGCAGCTGTTTTCTGGCACCCAGGGGCCTCTGCCCTGCTCCCCCGGGTTCCCCAGTGGGCAGACCCCACCCCTGCATCGGGCACAGCACTCAGGCCGACCTGAACATCCTGTCCCCCCGCCCAGTGTCATTGGCTCAGGGGTGGGCTTGGGACCCACGCCAAAGGCATTCCAGCAACTAGTTTGAACCCCTGGGAGGAGGACACTTCCCACTGTTACTTCTGAGCTGAAAGCTACTGGGGCAGCCTGTCACCAAAAGAGGAGGGGCTGCCAGAGTAGAAGATAAGTACAAAGGAAGGGAAGAGAAACGGAAGCCTGGAGCACAGACCCAAGAGGGGGTATGAAGACAGCCTTTCAAGCCCCTGGATCCAGCTGCACCTGAAGCCAGATAGCCCTGGACTCTTCTGTTAAAGAGGCGGAAAAGGTTGGCCCTGTGCTGGCAGCAAAGAGGGCCACTGACACTGGAATCTGCAAACGGTAAGCGCTGAGGAACAGGCCAGTCACACGGCGGCGGGCTGCCCTAGGCTCAGAAGCTGTAACTCCTTGGCACATCCCCGCTATCAAAGTGCCTGGGATCGGAGATCCAGGGGGCCTAGTCTGACGTCTGAGTGCCACCTGTCAGGAAGACTATGAGAGCCTACACGCTCAAGGCTGCTCTCTCGAATGGTGGTCTTGCCAAGAGAGGTTCTTTCAACCCGGAGCCAGCAGTCCAAGAGGGCTCAAGGTCAGATAACCTATGCCCCGCAAGGTCAGAGAAGCAGATCATCTGCCCCAGATTCAAGTTAGTACCTCAAAGGCAGGGAGGCCTGAAGGAGAGAGCAGGAGCTGAAGGGTGAGGTAGGGAGCCCAGCACTGCCCGGCCTCCTGCTCAGCACCCTTGCCTGAGAAAGGGCGAAACCCTTGTCCTAAGAGCCCTCCAGTGGTGCAGCTGGGGGCAAATGGACCTGTCCTCCCCGACCCACAGGGTGAGCCAGGAGGACACCTTCTACTATGTGTAGCCATGTAACCCAGGCCTGGACAACGATGACGCTCTGCCCGTGGGCCACACTGATTCGCTGAGGGGTGGACACATGGTCCAGCCAGCCCCAGAGGCTCAACCCCGGACTTCTGCTGGCAAATGAAGGGAAACAAGTGCCTTCCGCCAGAAGCACGAGCCATTCTGCTGCATGAAGCAAAAGAGGAGCTAAAAGTGAAGCTGATGCAAAGAAACTCAGGCTGTCTGGCCAAGAGGCTGTGAAGGACTCCACTGCTGAATGCCTGCTAAAGGGTTAGTGCCGGGCCAAATATGCTTTCCTGACTGGGTCTGCGGAAGGGGCCCTGCCCCGGGCGCTCTGTGAAGGACACGGAGGGCTTCGGAGTCAGGCGGGGATGGGTGTCCCTGGGCACTCTGGACCCAGCGGGCTCCTCTATGGAACCGGACGCCCCTGCCGCACTCCCCCGCCCCTCCACTGCGAGACTGGGGGAGGCGAGCCAAGCAGCAGCGGGCCACTGGAGGAAGTTGGCTCCAAAGCCTTCGCGTGGCTACCTGGGTGGGCTTGCCGAACCACTTCCAGAGCTGCCGGGCAGGCAGGAAGGCGGCGATCTTGGGCCGGTTCTCCACAGACGGCAGGCGCTGCCGCTTGGCCAGCTCCTTGGTGGTGGGAAGGTGGACTCCCTCCCTCTTCTTGGGCCGGCTCTTGGCCGCGGACCCGGCCTGGGCCTTGGGCTGCGGGGGCTGCGGCGGGGGCGCCTGGGGCGGGGGCACCAGCGCCTTCTTGCTGGGCGAGTGGGCCGAGGGGCGCGCCTTGCCGGCCTGCTTGGGCGCTGAGCCCGGGAGGGCGGGCGGGGCGGAGGGGCCGGCCGCGGGGCCAGGCGCCGCCTCGTCGTCCGAGCTGCAGGAGGAGTCGTCTGTGGTGGAGGACGAGGACGACGAGGACGAGGACGAGGAGGACGAGGACGAGGATGAGGAGGACGAGGACGAGGACGAGGAGGAGGACGAGGAGGACGAGGAGGAGGAGGACGAGGAGGACGAGGACGAGGAGGACGAGGAGGACGAGGACGAGGACGAGGAGGACGAGGACGAGGAGGACGAGGACGCCCTGGAGCTGGGGGCGCTGCGGTTCCGGCCCCCACCATCCTGGCCGGCCTCCTCGCCCTCCGTCTCCGAGCTGCTGCCGCCACTGTCGCTACTACCGCTCTCGGATTCCTCGGCACCGTCCTGCGCAGCCCGGCCCCCGCCTGGGCTCCCGGCCTTCCCTGGGTCCTCGAACGCGAGCCTGGCCGCAGGCTCCTGGGCCTCGTCACCCTCCCCGGCCTGGGGCCGGGCCGCCCTGGGCTCGCTGCCACCGGCAGCCGGGGGGTGGCTGCCCAGACCCAGGAGGCTCTTGGGCTCCTCCCGCAGAAGCAGGGCCTCCTTGGCCTTCTTGCTTTTGGGCGACGTCACACCCTCATGGTCCAGCTTGACGAGCAGCTCAGCCTCCTCCCCCGGCCTCCGGATGCCCTTGCTGGCCGACTCCTCTGTGGCCCTGGCCTTCTTGGGCTTGGGGCGGGTGGCTGGCATGGTGATGGGCATGCTGACAAGGGAGGCAGGGGCCAGGGCTGTGGCAGGGGCTGGCAGCTCCCCAAAGGGCTCAGGAGCTGGGCAGCTGGCAAACGGGGATGGCACTGGGCTGGGCTGCGGGGCTGCTGGGCGAGCCTTGGAGGCCTTGGCCCGCTTGTCCACAGGTTCTGGGGGGCTCTTCTTGGAACTCGGGGTACTGCCTGGTTCCAGGGCTAGTGGGGTGCTGGGGACCTCATCTGTTGAGCCCCCCTCCTCTAGGACAGCAGCTCTCTCTAGAAGAGAAGGAAAAACCCTATGTGAGGCCAGGCCAGGCTAGGGCCTTCCCAACCCAGAAAGCCCCATTTCAATCCTGACTCTGCCGGGTTCTGAGCTGTGCCTGGAACTCAGAACAGTCATCCCACACGTGATTACCCCCAAAGTGGCATTCAGTAGCCTCAGCTCTTAGCCCAATGCACTTTCCTCTGGATTCTGGAGTGAACATACTGCCTGAATCTCAGCTCAGCCTCACACAGGACATGCCTCCCTCAGCCCTTTTCCTACTCTGTCAAATGGTCAAAACAGCCCCAATGCACAGGGTTCTCAAAAGGCCGGGAGAAGCCTCTACGCAGAGGCCTCTACACAGCAGCCCGCAGTGCAGCAGGCCCCACCGGCCCGCCACCTCCCTTGCTCCTCGGCAGGGCGGGGATTGAGCCAACATACCATCCTTGGCTTTGGTGCTGGGTTTGCGCCCACGCCCTCTCGCCTTGGCACTGGGTTCCTCGGACCCCGGAGCACCCCCATCTTTGCCGTCCCCAGTATCTTTGCTGGTCTTCCGACTACGGCGCTTGGCGCTCGGCACCAGGAGGGCTGGAGATGGTTCAGCACCTGCAGGGCAGGACAGACGGTGGCTCAGGCATGGGGAGCAGGGATGGGAGGAACTGGGTGACTGTGAGGCTGGCCCCACTCAGCTGCCTGGATAGGCTGCACGGTCAGGGGGAAGGCCCATGTCTGCAAGGACGTTTGAAAGCTACTGGGGCAGCCTGTCACCAAAAGAGGAGGGGCTGCCAGAGTAGAAGATAAGTACAAAGGAAGGGAAGAGAAACGGAAGCCTGGAGCACAGACCCAAGAGGGGGTATGAAGACAGCCTTTCAAGCCCCTGGATCCAGCTGCACCTGAAGCCAGATAGCCCTGGACTCTTCTGTTAAAGAGGCGGAAAAGGTTGGCCCTGTGCTCTGGCAGCAAAGAGGGCCACTGACACTGGAATCTGCAAACGGTAAGCGCTGAGGAACAGGCCAGTCACACGGCGGCGGGCTGCCCTAGGCTCAGAAGCTGTAACTCCTTGGCACATCCCCGCTATCAAAGTGCCTGGGATCGGAGATCCAGGGGGCCTAGTCTGACGTCTGAGTGCCACCTGTCAGGAAGACTATGAGAGCCTACACGCTCAAGGCTGCTCTCTCGAATGGTGGTCTTGCCAAGAGAGGTTCTTTCAACCCGGAGCCAGCAGTCCAAGAGGGCTCAAGGTCAGATAACCTATGCCCCGCAAGGTCAGAGAAGCAGATCATCTGCCCCAGATTCAAGTTAGTACCTCAAAGGCAGGGAGGCCTGAAGGAGAGAGCAGGAGCTGAAGGGTGAGGTAGGGAGCCCAGCACTGCCCGGCCTCCTGCTCAGCACCCTTGCCTGAGAAAGGGCGAAACCCTTGTCCTAAGAGCCCTCCAGTGGTGCAGCTGGGGGCAAATGGACCTGTCCTCCCCGACCCACAGGGTGAGCCAGGAGGACACCTTCTACTATGTGTAGCCATGTAACCCAGGCCTGGACAACGATGACGCTCTGCCCGTGGGCCACACTGATTCGCTGAGGGGTGGACACATGGTCCAGCCAGCCCCAGAGGCTCAACCCCGGACTTCTGCTGGCAAATGAAGGGAAACAAGTGCCTTCCGCCAGAAGCACGAGCCATTCTGCTGCATGAAGCAAAAGAGGAGCTAAAAGTGAAGCTGATGCAAAGAAACTCAGGCTGTCTGGCCAAGAGGCTGTGAAGGACTCCACTGCTGAATGCCTGCTAAAGGGTTAGTGCCGGGCCAAATATGCTTTCCTGACTGGGTCTGCGGAAGGGGCCCTGCCCCGGGCGCTCTGTGAAGGACACGGAGGGCTTCGGAGTCAGGCGGGGATGGGTGTCCCTGGGCACTCTGGACCCAGCGGGCTCCTCTATGGAACCGGACGCCCCTGCCGCACTCCCCCGCCCCTCCACTGCGAGACTGGGGGAGGCGAGCCAAGCAGCAGCGGGCCACTGGAGGAAGTTGGCTCCAAAGCCTTCGCGTGGCTACCTGGGTGGGCTTGCCGAACCACTTCCAGAGCTGCCGGGCAGGCAGGAAGGCGGCGATCTTGGGCCGGTTCTCCACAGACGGCAGGCGCTGCCGCTTGGCCAGCTCCTTGGTGGTGGGAAGGTGGACTCCCTCCCTCTTCTTGGGCCGGCTCTTGGCCGCGGACCCGGCCTGGGCCTTGGGCTGCGGGGGCTGCGGCGGGGGCGCCTGGGGCGGGGGCGCCAGCGCCTTCTTGCTGGGCGAGTGGGCCGAGGGGCGCGCCTTGCCGGCCTGCTTGGGCGCTGAGCCCGGGAGGGCGGGCGGGGCGGAGGGGCCGGCCGCGGGGCCAGGCGCCGCCTCGTCGTCCGAGCTGCAGGAGGAGTCGTCTGTGGTGGAGGACGAGGACGACGAGGACGAGGACGAGGAGGACGAGGACGAGGATGAGGAGGACGAGGACGAGGACGAGGAGGAGGACGAGGAGGACGAGGAGGAGGAGGACGAGGAGGACGAGGACGAGGAGGACGAGGAGGACGAGGACGAGGACGAGGAGGACGAGGACGAGGAGGACGAGGACGCCCTGGAGCTGGGGGCGCTGCGGTTCCGGCCCCCACCATCCTGGCCGGCCTCCTCGCCCTCCGTCTCCGAGCTGCTGCCGCCACTGTCGCTACTACCGCTCTCGGATTCCTCGGCACCGTCCTGCGCAGCCCGGCCCCCGCCTGGGCTCCCGGCCTTCCCTGGGTCCTCGAACGCGAGCCTGGCCGCAGGCTCCTGGGCCTCGTCACCCTCCCCGGCCTGGGGCCGGGCCGCCCTGGGCTCGCTGCCACCGGCAGCCGGGGGGTGGCTGCCCAGACCCAGGAGGCTCTTGGGCTCCTCCCGCAGAAGCAGGGCCTCCTTGGCCTTCTTGCTTTTGGGCGACGTCACACCCTCATGGTCCAGCTTGACGAGCAGCTCAGCCTCCTCCCCCGGCCTCCGGATGCCCTTGCTGGCCGACTCCTCTGTGGCCCTGGCCTTCTTGGGCTTGGGGCGGGTGGCTGGCATGGTGATGGGCATGCTGACAAGGGAGGCAGGGGCCAGGGCTGTGGCAGGGGCTGGCAGCTCCCCAAAGGGCTCAGGAGCTGGGCAGCTGGCAAACGGGGATGGCACTGGGCTGGGCTGCGGGGCTGCTGGGCGAGCCTTGGAGGCCTTGGCCCGCTTGTCCACAGGTTCTGGGGGGCTCTTCTTGGAACTCGGGGTACTGCCTGGTTCCAGGGCTAGTGGGGTGCTGGGGACCTCATCTGTTGAGCCCCCCTCCTCTAGGACAGCAGCTCTCTCTAGAAGAGAAGGAAAAACCCTATGTGAGGCCAGGCCAGGCTAGGGCCTTCCCAACCCAGAAAGCCCCATTTCAATCCTGACTCTGCCGGGTTCTGAGCTGTGCCTGGAACTCAGAACAGTCATCCCACACGTGATTACCCCCAAAGTGGCATTCAGTAGCCTCAGCTCTTAGCCCAATGCACTTTCCTCTGGATTCTGGAGTGAACATACTGCCTGAATCTCAGCTCAGCCTCACACAGGACATGCCTCCCTCAGCCCTTTTCCTACTCTGTCAAATGGTCAAAACAGCCCCAATGCACAGGGTTCTCAAAAGGCCGGGAGAAGCCTCTACGCAGAGGCCTCTACACAGCAGCCCGCAGTGCAGCAGGCCCCACCGGCCCGCCACCTCCCTTGCTCCTCGGCAGGGCGGGGATTGAGCCAACATACCATCCTTGGCTTTGGTGCTGGGTTTGCGCCCACGCCCTCTCGCCTTGGCACTGGGTTCCTCGGACCCCGGAGCACCCCCATCTTTGCCGTCCCCAGTATCTTTGCTGGTCTTCCGACTACGGCGCTTGGCGCTCGGCACCAGGAGGGCTGGAGATGGTTCAGCACCTGCAGGGCAGGACAGACGGTGGCTCAGGCATGGGGAGCAGGGATGGGAGGAACTGGGTGACTGTGAGGCTGGCCCCACTCAGCTGCCTGGATAGGCTGCACGGTCAGGGGGAAGGCCCATGTCTGCAAGGACGTGACTGAGGTGCTCCATACAGGCAGCTCATGGGGACTCCCTGAATGAGCGCTCAGGGCGGGGCTGAGCACAGGCACCAGATTTCATGGTGTTTGTGATCCACTTAAAGGATGCTCAAAACCCTGAGGGCCAGGGACCCTGGGAGTCATACTGTCCCAGGTCTGAGGCCTAGCTCTACCTCTAACCAGTCACGGGATGCTGGGTAAGTCATACCACCTCTTTGAATCTGAGTTCCATATTGGTCAAAGGGGATGGTTTTTCCGGGACCACACAGGATGAGGCACGAATTCAACACTATCACGAACATGGAGCATGGAACTGTCAACAACTATCAATCAGCCTCCCACCATCTGGGCTGCCTCAGTGTACAGACCTGGGGAGCCCTGGGATTCCCTCTCCTGAGCCCATTCTAGGACCTCCACCCATGGTTTCTGCCATTTCCATTGCCTGTGTGTGCAAATGGTCCAAATGGCAGGCAGAGCCCAGGGCTGGGCACAGGTGGGAGCCAGGCACAGGCCTAGGGGCCACCCCAGCTGAGGCAGCAGGACCACCACTCACACTGGATCTTATAGTCAGGAGGCAGGAGGCGGATATGGGAGAGGGGAATCCTCCCCGTGTCCCCGTCATCAAACTCCACGGTGATCAGGTCCCCATCGTCCTCGAGGCCCAGTAAGCCTGTTGGAGGAAGGGCAGGGTCAGGAGAGGCCTGCAAACCTCTGGCTCCCTGGAAGGCAAGAAGGTGACGGGAGCGCAAAACCTAGCTGGTAAGCAGCCCTGGACTCGGGGTGTACAAGGTGCAGCTGTGCAGTGGTGCAGAACGTGGGTTTCAGAGCCTCGCAGTCCTGGCAGGAGCACTGGGGAGCACGGCTCTCCACTCCTGCCGTGTGTGCACCCTGACTTCAGGGACACCAGGCCCAGGCCACTCACTCCCAAGACCCTCCCCAAAGCAACATAAAGGAACAGCAAGGGCAGGAACCCGAAAGGACAGAGGGAGGGGGCAGGTGAGAAGGCCAGCGTTTCAGATGACATCTGCGTGGATGACAACTTTCTCCATTGCCAGGAGCCTAGAAGGAAGCAAAGCCAGCAAGGAGGAAGCAGGTTTTCACAGGGAACCCCACAAAGGCCCAGGCCTTTGATGTGCAAGTATATCTGGATACAAGGGTCCCCAACTCTGGACAGGCTGAGGGTCATGCTGCAGGAGCTACGAATTTACACCTGGGGAGACTCTGAAGGGCACAGAGGAAATGGGAGGGTGGCGGGGTGCCTGCTCCCAAATGGTGACTACAGCCCCATCCCAAGGACCAGATGCTGAGCCAGATCTCCAAGGAGGGTGGCCTTGGCCAGTCTGACCGGCTAAGAGGAGAGAGGCACAGGAGCTGGCACCTGGGGTCCCCAACAACACATGCCTCCTTGCTCGCCTCTGTCAGGAAGCACCTACCCTCACACACACACACACACACACACACACACACACACACAAAGCTTCTAGTCCTAGGAGCACCAGAGAAGAAAGCATGGCCTCTAACAAAAGATGAACACTGAGCAGAGGTAAGTGGAGCTTGATTAAAGAACACCAACTAGAGACTCGGAAGGAAGGCGAGCTAGAGAACCCAAAATGAAAACAATGTGTCCCCAAATAAATTTTAAAAGGGATAATACCTCCCAGAAACAAAGGGGTTACTTGGAGAATAAGAAAGAACTCTTCAGAATTTTTTTAATGATAGTAGAAATTTCAAAAATTCAATAGAATATGACGAGCAGAAGGTCAAGTGGAAGAAATCTCTCAGAAAGTTGAACAAATAAATAAAGAGATAGCCAATAATAGAAAAAAGCTATTGAGGGCCACCAGACAAGTGTGGGTTCTGGGGAAAAGAATGTAAATAACAGAAGCAGACTCTCACAGCAGAAATCCAAGTCTCCAAGAACAGAGGAAATCTGCTTCAAAATCAAAGCCTCTCTTGCCCCACACTGCCGCAATCACACACACACACACACATACACACCCCCCAGATAAATCACATGAAATTCCAGCTCCAGGAATAATGAGAAGATCCTCAAAATTCCCAGACAGAAAAAGCAGGTCTCCTACAAAGACTTGGGAGTGATCACAGCATGAAGTGAACTTCTCAGACATCAGAGGCTAGAAGAAATTGAAGTGACTTTGAAATGGGGAAGGAAGACAATGTCCAACTTAGAATTTATATCCAGCTCAACTATCTCTAAAGAACAGGACACAGATCCAATCCACTCTAACGACAGAGAATAAAGAGATTCTGGATATGTACATACTTGGAGAATTTACCTCCCATGACCCTTTCTCATGAAGCTACAGAAAGATTACTGAAACAAGGGAATGAGACACGGAAGAGGAAGATACAGGATGCAACACAGGAGAGAGAGATGGAATTCTCAGGAAGACGGCCAGGGAAGTCCCAAGAGTGACACCAGCAAGACAGGCCCAGAAAGCACCAGCCCATTATGGTTCAAGGGAACAGAAAGCTCCAGGAGATGTGAATCAAAACAAACTTTTAATATGGATGTCTGACCCAGCACCAGCATCCCCATCCCATTTCTGGGTATGTATGGACATTGGGCAGCCAAGGGGTGGACTGTATTCGGCATCTGTTGTTTTGGGGTGGGTTTTTTTTGATGCAGTGAACATCCATATCCCCACCTCCTGGGTCTGTTACTTTTGCAATAGCTAATGGATCCACTGTGTATCTGCCATTTTTGTCCATCTGACAAACATACCTTTGTCTTCGGAGGCACTTGTTTTTTTTTTTGTCTGCCCACCTTCCAATCTCTCTTATTCTGTTAATAACATTCCAACTTTTGGGAAGCCACCTTCCCATCTCTCTCAGACCATATGCAAAATCAGGACGCCAACCTCACCCATTAGTTTCAGGGATGATGAGCATGTGACCCAGACCCAGGAAGTCAGACTCACAGCAGTCAGTGAGATCCACACAACCCAAGCCAGTGCAGTGGGTCTCCCTCCTAGGACTTACACGAAAAAAGCAGAAATTCCTTAATAGGATTTGTTAAGATGGTGAAATGCAGTCCCCAAGGAGCTGGGTGTGAAGCCAGCATAGAAAAGAACACTGCTGACAGACACTGAGACTGAGTCCTGGTGACGTGGTATGAATGGTACCCAGGTCCAACCATGGCCATGGCCAAGGACCCCGCCAGCTTTCATTTACATAAGCCCATAAAACACTTCACACTTAAGCCAGTTACACTTGAGTTTAGGCCAGATGAGCTCATATCGATCCATCAGCAAATGTGAGAGTGCCTGGGAGGGTCTCAGGGAAGGGGAGTGCTCACCTCGGACCACAGTGCCTGGGTAGAGGCAACGGTACTGCTGGCTCCAATAGGCTGCGATCCTGGTCCCTTGTGGCAAAAAGCGGGTGGAGGCCGGCCTCACATCGATGATCTGGGAAGGCAGAGTACCCAGGTGGTAACCAGGAACAGCCCAGCCCCCTACCCCCTCCTCCCAGCGATTCCACCCTACTCTGCTCACCGCCTCCTGCAGCAGCTGCTCCAGACAGTAGATGTGGGGCCGGTTCCCGCGTTCGCCCTCTACCACCACACGGTATCTGCAACGCCAGGACAAGAGTGATATGAGGTGGCAGAGACAGGGGGCCTTGCAACAGGGACCCCCCCCACACCCTACTCCTGGCCCCAGCAGTGCCAACTTGACCTCCCAGATCACCAAGATATGACATCAGAGCTTGAGGGTTTGCTGATTCGCTGTAAAAACAGGGAAAGTCTCTCCCCTTCTGGGCCTCAGTTTCTTCATCTGTACAAGGAGGAGTTGCAGATCCAAGAGAGGCCAAGCTGCTCTCTCCTGGCCCATCCTGCTGAGGCCCCTGCCTCTTGGGGGCTGGCCATGCCCACCCTGGCACATCCTCAGAGTACTGCCCCTGAGTCCTCTGAACCCACCCACACACCTGTGGGGTAGGCGCCATTCACCCAGTTCTATAGGGGAAGTTGCAGAGCAGAGAAGCCCAGCAAGGCAGCCCAGATGCAGGACTAGGAGAGGGTCTTCTGGCTCTGAGCCCAGTGTTGCCCCTGCCTAGCCCCTGAGCTCCCTACTCACATGTCTGGCGAGTGCACCGTCTGCACATGCCCAGCGTACAGCAGCTTGTCGTCCATGGGGATGAGCACACGCAACCCGTCTTTCAGCTCATCCTTGTCGATGATGCAGGACCTTGGGGCTGCGGGATGATGGCAGTGAGGTGGGGCTGGAGCCCGGGTGGCCGGGAGGGCATGTGTGGGCACACCTGTGTGCCCAGATGGGCCTGGTGCAGGAACATGTGGGGGGCCCTCACCCTCCCAGCCCAGGTGTCTCGAAAGACCCCAGATGGGTGTGAACCGGGGGTGAGGGGTGACAGCTGCATGGCTGCCCCTCCCCCGCCCCCAAGACCACCATCCTCTGAGCCTGGAAATTAGGTTCTGCGTCATCAGCCCACACCACCTCCCCTTAAGCCACTTCGCCAGGACTTTCCATTGGCTTCTTCTCTACTTGGAGTGACACTTGTTCTGGTGGAAACCAAACCCTACAGCCAAACTTCCCGACCAGGCCATCAGCACTCACTGTTGCCCCATCTCTCCCAGCATTTGACCCATGGTTGCCACTCCCCTCAGCTTTGGCCACCCATTCCTGGGACCCCCACAACACTCTCCTCAGTTCTCCCCCTCTGGGCTGGGCCATGCTCTCCCCTCTCCTGGGCTGGCTCTGTCTTTCCACAGGTCCCTCAACCGGGCCCTCTCCCTGTCAGCAGAAGTTAGAGACCCAGACAGCTCACTGGGGTGGATGTGACTGGCCCTTCTTCATCCCTCCCCAAACGCACAGCTCACTGTGGGTGGAACAGACTCTGGCCTCCAGACATTTAGTGGGGCCACGTGACTTACACAAGGACAGGAGCAACCACATGCCCATTTGGAACCTGGGCCTTAAGAGGCTGCATCAGTTCCCACTTTCCCTCCTGAGCTGCCTCCCAGCAACATGGCCATGGAACACACCCCGCTCAGCCTGCCCGTCCAGGGGGATGCATGGCCACATGTCTGCATCCATGGGCCCCAGCCATACCATTACTGTAAGACCAGGCCCCGCTGGGGTCAGCCCAGCCTCCCTGCAGACAGCTGAGACACAGTGCCGTCCACCAGGAAACCGACACAGCAACAGCTGACGGGCACACTCCAGCAGGGCACGAAGCTGCTCCTCTTGCTGCCTGACCTCCACCCAGCTCATATCCTCAACCTCTCCTCCAAGCTCCAGACCTCAGGCCCAGAGCCTTCCCTGAACATCACCCAGGTACCCCAAACTCCAGCCAGCAGCACCCAGCACGTGACCTTCCCCTGACCCATGCCCACCTGCCCCCACCAACTGCACACACCCCTTCTCATCTGCTCACAAAACCCACCCTAGAGCGCCTCCATGCTCCCTCCTAACATGCTCAAGCCCAGCCCGGCCCCCTCCCTGCTGCCCCTCTAATGGGACTCCCTGACCCCTCCAGAGCCCCTCCAATTTTTCTCCATGCAGCAGTCAGAGAGCACTTTCCAAAACCAATCTGACCACACTGATTACCCACTTCCACCTCTGACAGCTTGTTTTCTTTAGGGTGAAGACCACAAACTCCCACAAAGCCTGTGAGACTTTGGCTGATCTGCTCTGCCTCCTTCTCAGCCTAGTAAACCAGAGCCAAACTGGCCTTCTTCCCATTTATTGTAGGCACTGTGCTCCCACTGAACCTCAGGGCCTTTGCCCATGCCATGGCCCATCACCCATTTCCTGCCCATTCCCGGGGCTAGCTCAGCCCCTGGCCATCTCAGGCTATGGCAACTTCTTTAGGGGAAACTCCTGCACCCCCACGCTTCAGGCCCCAGCCAACACAGCACTGCAGGCACTCACCCGGGGTCAGCGGCCGTTCCACAGCCCCACCACGTGGCAGGTGCTCATCCTCAGAGAAGCTGGAGTCCTGGTTGGGCTCAAAGTCCTCCTCGGCTGCCATGCTCTCCATCAGCTTACTCACAGCTCCCCCTTTCCCCCGGTTCTGAGGACAGAGCACAGCAAACTGATGGCTTAGGACATGGCATATGTGTCCTGTCTAGCACCCTCCTGGGAAACCCAGGGTCACAGGATGCAGTGGCATCTGCCATATGCACCGTGGGGGTCCCAGTTGGGCTCACCCCACAGGCCAGGAGGACAAAATGGGCCTGTAACTGACTAGCCCGGGCCTACACACACAGAACCGGCTCTCCAGCCACACCATGGTTCTCAGGACACAGTGGCCAGGGGCTCTTGGCATTGGGCATGGACACACCCAGGCACGCCCCTACCTGTCAACTGAGCAAGGAAATTTGCCCAAGCCTGTGGGACCCTGTGGGCACCCCACTCGGGCCCAGCGAGCCTCACCTCCTTCTTCACCTCCTTCCCTTTGGCCTTGGCCCTGCTTCTCTTGGCGGCAGCTGGGGAGCTGGCGTTTGGGGCCCGGGCCTCGGGCGGCAGGGCAGGAACACGGGGCGGAGGCAGGGCAGCCCCAGATCCAGCCTCCTTCCCCTTTTTCTTCTGGGAGAGAAAGCAACAGCAGGTCGCCATCAGAGGTGCCTCCCACCCCAAGAGAGGAACAGAGCACCCTGACTCCCCAGCAATTAGCTTTGGTTTTAATTTTAATTGTCTTATTACTGCTATATACACGTGCAAAGTCCTCTCCAACCATCCTGCCAACTGCACAGAAGTAAAGCCACTAGTAAAGCATGGTATCCTTCCAGAACTTCCCACAAGCACAATCATGTAAACACAAAGGCTATGCAGACGCTTTTATGCACACACAGTATTTTTTTAAAACACAATGGGAATTTACCAAAAGTCCTGCTTTGTAACTTACTCCCCCTACATGTCTGATGGACACAAAGATGGCCTCTTTTTTGATTTAACAGCTGCCCAATGTGTGGCAGTGTGCAGGAACTGCGATTCACTCAACCACCCCCACTGCAATGGGCATGCAGGCTTCCTCCGTTTTCTTGCTGTTCCGAACAATGCCACAAAAAGCTGGCAGTACTGATTAATTAGTTGTACAGGTATATTCCTGGAAGGAGCATTGAAAACCACTCAGCTACAACCTGAGTCGCTGCTGGAATGCCCGTGACGTCCACGCCTTGCAGCGAGGAGGTGTGCACTCATCCTAGCTCAAAGCCCCCCGAGCATAGTGGAATGGGGATGCTCCCCCTCACTGGTGAGTGGACACTGGTCCAGGTGTGCAAGGACTGTGTACAACTTTGTTTATCAGGGCAAAGAACTGGAAACAACCTCGATGTTCAGCAACCTGTTACCAGAACACTGTTGCACAGGCAGACACAGTTACAAGCCCTTATTACAGCGGCTGGGAGTCTGTTCAGAGGAAGAGGCAATGGCAGGAAAACGGCAATGATGATACTTTGCGCAGGCTTAAGAGCCAGCCAGTGTGACCTAGAGGGGATGGGTGGCAGGGCTGGGGCGTAACTATGCTTCTTAAAAGACACATTCCTAAGACAAAACAGTCAAGGCAAGTCAAGAGGAGGTGGAAAATTAAGAAACAGAAAGAGATAATACTGGGAAAAGCTACCAAGAGGATGGGGGAACTCAGAGCTTCCATTATCAGACAAGTGCATTTCAGAGCAAATAGCATTAAAAGTGCCAAAGCAGGAAAATGTTACAGGGATAAGAAGTATTCAGTTTTCCCATTTGGGGGAAAAATATAATGACATACACATTTTATTTTCTTGTTTCTGATGCACGTTTTAATCCTGTTCACACTTCTGAAATAAGAAGCATCCTGGGGGCTGAAGGAACGTTTTTAATGTGGCTATGTTTTCTTTTTCCCTTACATCTGTTCTTAAATAGACAGCCGTCTTATGGTGCATGTCTTTGGAGCTGTACACACCACACTGGGGGTGGGGGAACAGCAAAAAAATATAGGTATGTCTGAGTAGATTTTTTTTTCTTCCTTTTCTTTATTTTCCAAATTGCTGTTACCATCAGATAAAACTGATAAAACTTCTTTCCCACTGACCAGAAAAGCCCATTTCTGGGAATCTGACTTTTTATTAGTAAGAAAAGAGCTCCAAATGTAACAAGGTGTACACACAGAAAAGAGGTGTCCCTTGCAGTAATAATTACAATGGTAAAATACCCTCATGGACAGAATCTCTAGCCAGCACGGCTAACGAGACCACGGACAGCCAGTTGGTGGGGCACTTAGAAATGCTGATAAAAAAATTAAACTCCTGACATATGGGAGTGCATAGTCTAAAAAGCAGGCTGTAAAAGTGTTATCTCCAAAAGCTATGACCAGTGGTGGCTCCTGGGGTGATCTCCCTGGCATCTGGTTTCTCCTTTTCCTGATGTTCTGTTCCAGTCTCTCCCTGCACCATCAGAAGCCTGGGATCGGGGAGCCTCGTCCTCTCCCCAGGGGAAGGCACCATCTTGGGAAAGGGCCCAACAGACATTGATTCCCAGTAAAGCCCAGGCTCTGGTGCCAGACCCCCAGCATTCAAAGACAAGTTGGGATGATCGTTAGCAGCTGTGACCTTGAGCAAGTTCCAAGGCCATCTGTAAAGTGCAGTTACTATGCAGAATCTACCTCATACGGCTTTGTGAGATCTCAGTGGTGACATAACAAACATATACTTGGTCTCTGCCCCTGGTTCCTGACACCAAGCTCCTAAACTCCTCTGAGTTTCCTGGGTCACAGGAGTGTGTTTTGTTCTAATGAGGCAACTCTTGGTGAGCCCCTAGATAGCTTCAGGATGAGGCCTGGACACTAGAAAGACCACCGGAACTGTCAGCCCCACACCGTTCTCTGGTAGGGGAGAAGGGCAGCTAACTGAGTTAGTAACTGATCATGCCTGTGTGATCAAGCCCCCATAAAACCCCTAAACACAGGGCCAAGAGAGCTTCCGGGCTGGTGACATGGGGGTGCTAGGAGAGTGGCCCCCTGGAGAGGGCATGGCAGCCCCAGGCCCCTTCCCCCAGATCCTACCTGGTGCATCTCTTCCGTGTGGCTGTCCCTGAGCTGTATAATTCATATTAAATGGTACAGCACTTTCCTGGAGTCTGTGGGCCATTCTGGTGAATTACCAAAACTGAAGAGGAGGTCACAGGAACCCCCAATTTACAGATAGTGGGTCAGAAGCACATGACAACCTGGGACCTGGGACTGGCATCAGAAGTGGGGGTCGGCAGGGGCTGTCCTGTGGATGAGCCCTTCCCCTGCCAGGTCTGGGGTTTGCGCCCACTCTGGGCAATTAGTGTTGGGGGTGTTGTGAGTAAAGCAAACAAGTTTGCCTTTACCAGTAAGTGATGTACACGTGAGAAAGTGGTTAGAACATGCCTGGGCCCTACCATGGGTCACCTGGCATAATCAATATCATTAATATTATAAATCCTTCCAGAACCTTCTCTCCAAGGCCCAGAAAGACCTGAGATGGCTTCAACCGCAGGAAACAGGAGGTGAGCACAAATCAAGACGCCTGGGGGCCACACTCAAACCGGGCCCTCCCCCACTGTCTCTGGGTCTCAGGAAGTCAGTGATGGTCTCACCCCTTCTGTGACCTTCTCTAGAATGTCAGTGACTTGAGGGTTCGTCCTACAGCAAGGACCTGAGTCCTACTTCAGAGACTGGCAGGGCTGAACGCAGCCACCTACAGGGGACAACTGGCCACCACCTTCCTAGCAGCCAGCCCAAGGGTGATCAGCACAGAGCTCTGGAAAGGCTGGTCGAAGTCCTCAGCCTGCGTGTCCTTGGAGAGAATTTAGTACATCTGTGAACTTGCACGGGGAAAAAGAAACCCCATCTCTATTTTCACAAACTCAAGAAATGAGGGTTTCCTACAGGTGTGAGAGGCCACAGAGTAGCCGTGGCTGAGACGTGGTCACCAGCAGAAGTCACTGCCACGCAGCACTGCACAGTTCCCAGAGACCACAGAAGTAGTCTGAGCTCATCGCTGCCGAGTGACAGCGTCCCTGGTCAAAGCATCCATGTGGGGTGTGCAGAGCACTGCATGGCAAAAGGGGGTTTGGGGACTCTGAGAATCACTGTTTCCTTTGGGGTCCTGAGCATCCACAACATTTTGGGGATGTTCTCCTGAGACAGGAGGCACAGGACCTCTGTGAGGTAGGTGGGGCACACTCTTCCTGGTGCCAGGTCTGCACACCCGCCCCAGTGGGACCCCAGGGGCCGGGCCGGTGGCAGCCATCGAAGCCACCAACCAAGGCTGCGAGTCCAGAGCCCTTCCCACTGCCTCCACCCCAGCACGAGCCCTACCTTCCTGGGGTCCTTTCTGTCCTTGGCGCGGCCGGCATCCTTGCGAGGGCTCAGCGGGCCACCCTTGCTGCAGCGGCCAGGCTTGGCGACAACAGGGGCTGCGCTGCTGGGCGCTGGGGCTGCGGCCGAGGCATCATGCAGGAAGATGCGCTCACTGCGCCGTCGCGTCCACAGGTCATCATCACTGGCCTCTGGCCCGGCCTCGAAGCCAGGCTCCTTGGGGCCCCGCAGCTTGCGGGCCTTGCGCCCCTTCTCCACCGCCAGCTTGGCCTTGTCAGGGCTGGTGGGGCCGGGCCCATGAGTGCTGGGCACAGATGTGGACACAGCCAGGGAGGGGCCTGGCTCCCCCAGTCCCTTCTTGGGCCGCAGCAGCCCAGCAGGCGACCGCTTCCGCACCTTGACCTCACTCTCTGAGTCCGTGTACTCAAACTCTGTGCCTGGATGCAGGAGGAGGGAGGGGGCTGTAGACAGGGGCTCCTGGGGCCCCCACTTCTCACCCACCCAGCTGCCCTGGCCACCAGCAGAAGGCCACAGTCCCATCCCTCCTTCAAGGGACCTCCTGCTCAAGGAGGGTTCGCCCCATTTCCAAGAGGAACCTGAGGCCAGAAGAAGAAAAAGGGCTCCTTCACCACATGCTAGTGAGCAACAGGTCCTGCCTGCTGCACTCCTGTCCTGACAACCCTGGGGGGACCAGAGTCTGCTCCCTCCCCCCTACCCCAGGAGCATCCTCTGGGAATGTGAAGATTCCTGCCTGGGCCTGCAGGAACTTCCCCATGGCTCCTGCATATCCCACATAATACCCCACGGGAATCCCAGAAGCCAGAGCAGGCAGGCTCGGGAGGGCTGCAGACCTGCAAGGGAGGTGCCTTGAAGGAGGCAAGCGGGAAAGCCCGCGGGAAACCCCCGGGCCTGGGGCCTGGCCTCTGCGTCCTGGGGCTGCTCCTCAGAGCTGGGAGGTCCCTGGCACCCCCACCCCTTTACAGAGAGTGGGCCTCAGCAGAACCCACACAGCCCTGGGCCCACCCCTTCCCATATCCGAGCGGCCAGTTTCCTGATCTAAACCCTAGAGGCCAGCCTTGGGTCTCAGCTCCCAGGCTTTGCCCAACCTCTCACCAACACCCAGCTGTCTGCCATCCTTCCAAACCTCTAGGCCTTTGCTTCTGCTGGTCCCTCTGCCAGGAGCACCATCTCTCTCCCCTGACCCCTACCTGGAAACATGCAGCCTCTTTGCTAAGAAGACCCCCTTGCCCCGTGTGGAGTCCTCTGGCATGTATCTGAAGGGCTCCCGACCATGTCTGCCTAACCTGACCCACTCTGCCTCCCCGAAGCAGATCCTTGAGTCCTCTTGGAGCCCCCAGCACCAGTGCAGCTGAGATGTGGCCCAGGGTATGGCCAGGGCAAGCACCTTAATGCAGGCGTTGATGGCACTTCTCCATGGCTTCATCCCATGGGAATGAGGTGGCCTGCCTCTTCCAGACCACAGGGGTGAGACGTCTGTGACACACCCCAGGTTGACAGCCCTAGAGGAGGGCTTGCCCTGATCCCATAGCATGTGAGCCGAAAAGCCAAGCCAAACCCCAGGCTGCTGACAGGTGGCCAGCAGCCTGCCCTGACGGACTCCTGTGGGAGGCCCAGCCCTGCCGCCCCAACAGCAGCAGCCACAGTGGCAGGGATGGGGCGGTGGCACACTCCATGGGAAGAGGCCACTTGCAAAACTTAATGATCCCATTAACTAATCTTTTGTTAACCAACTTCCCACTGCACAGGGAGGCAGCTGGGGGCTTTCATGGCTGATTAGGGTGCAGGCCATAAAACACAGGCTGGAGAGTTTTGCTGCTGGGCATGATGGATTCACACCCCACCCAATGACAGCCCCCCTGCAGAAACCACCAGAAAACCCAGAGGCACCCACAGCGCTGCAGATGCGTGCAGGGAGGACAACAGAGCCATGGTGCACGAGGACTCACATGGAAGAGGGGAGGTCGGAGCTACGTGGGTAACATCAGTTTGGTAGATAAATATTTATGAGACCGGTGGGACAGCAAGAACAGTGAGCGGGAAGAGCAGGCGGTCTCTGTGAGCCCTGCAGTGGGACGAGCATGAAGCCCAGGCAGTGGGAAGGATCTGCCAAGTCCTCACTGCCGGAGCAGGGACTAGAATCCGTATCCTTGGCTCCCACCCAGTGTCCTGTGCTCCTGCCTACTCCCCAAAACATAAGGAAGTAAAGGAGGAACAGAGGAACAAGAAAATTTGACAAAGGGTACACAAAGATGGAAAGTCAAAGGATGAAGAAGATGTAGCATGCGAATAGTAACCAAATAAGAGCCGAAGCAGCAAGACCAGGATCAGACAAAAGAGACTTTCAGATCATTACTGGAGACAAAGAAGGACGTTTAAAAATGAAACAGTCAATCGTCAGGAAGATGTAACAACTATAAAGATATGAGAACATAATCCAGAAGCATATAAAAAAGATTATACACCATGACCAAGTGGGATTTATCCCAGGAATGCAAGGCTGGTCAACACACACACACGCACACGCACACGCACACGCACACACACACACACACACCAATGTTATAACACCATATTAACAGAAGAAAACTATATGAACACAGAAAAACACTTCTCTATGTCAACAGAAACAGAAAAACTGATTGACAAAAACCTAACATCCTTTCATGATAAAATCATTCAACAAATCAGAACCAGAAGGGAACTTCCCAACCTGACAAACAACATCTATGAAAAACCTACTGCTCACATCATACTTAATGGTGACAGAATGAGTGCCCCCTGCACCAGAGCAGACGACAAAGATGTCTGGTTCTCACTGCTTCTAGATGACACTGTAAGGGAGATTCCCAAAAAGGTGGCTAAGCTAGAGAAAGAAACAAATGGTACGCACGTTGGAAAGAAGTAAACCTAAATCTATGTGCAGATGACATGCATGACCTGGTATCATAGAAAATACTAAGGAATCTGAAAAAACTTAGAACTAATGAGTTTGGCATGGTTACATGATACAAGATCAATATACAGAAATCAATTGTATTTCTACACACTAACAAAACAATGAAAAGAATTCCACAAAAATAAATAAATAAATACATAGGAATAAATTTAACAAAAGCAGCACAAGACTTGTAGAGTGAAAACTATAGAACATGTTGAAAGAAATTAACCCAAATAAATGGAAAGATATTCCATGTTGATGGTTTGAAAATCTTACATTTTTAAGAAGCCAATATTCCCCAATATGATCAACTGATCTAATACAATTCCTATCAGAACCCTCATGGACCTTTTTGCAGAAATTGACAAGCTGAGCCTAAAATCCATATGGAAATGCAAAGGACTCTGAGGCACTGAGGCAAACCTGAGATAGAAGAACAAAGATGGAGGACTCATACTTCCCAAATTCAGAGCTTCCTGTAATAATTACTAGGTTAATCAAGACAGTGTGGGACTGGTATAAGAACAGACATACAGACCAATGGAATAAAACTGAGGGTCCAAGAATAATCCCTCATACTAATGTTCAACTGATTTTTGACAAGGGCACCAATAACATCCAATGGGGAAAGAATAGATTTCGCCACACAACACTGGGACAAACAGATCTCCACATGCAAAAGACCCCAGCAGCACGCCACACACAAAAACAAACTCAAAGTGGATCACAGATCTATGCGTAAGTCACAAACTCTTAAACACACAGACCTACATGTAATTTACAAACTCTTAAACAAGCCTAAACCTTTGTGACCACATGTACGAAAGACATCAGAAGACATGGATAAATTGGACTTCATCAAAGTTTAAAACTTTCATTTCACACAACATTATCAAGAAGAGACAACTTACTCACTGGGAGGGGAAAAAACACCTGCAAACCATGTATCTGATGAGAGTTGCAGGCAGACTGTATAAAGGACTCTTATTCAATGACAAAATGACTGCTAACCCAATTTTTAAAAACGAGTAAAGGATTTAAACAGACATTTCTCCAAAGACACACAAATGGCTACTAAGCATGCGAAAAGATGCTCAACATCATTAGTCATTAGGAAATGCAAATCAAAACCACAGTGAGATACTACTGCTCACCCACCAGGATGGCTCTGCTCACAAAGACAGATAATAACAAGTACTGGGGAGGACGTGGAGCAACTAGAACCCTCACGCACTGCTGGTGGAAATATAAAATGGTGTGGCCACTTTGGAAAACATTTTAGCAGTTCCTCAAAGAGTTACATGTGAAGTTACCAAATGGCCCAGCAATTTTACTCCTAGATTTGTACCCAAGAGAACAGAAAACATGTCCACACAAAAACATGTACATGGATATTCATGGCAGTGTTATTCATGGTGGCTCAAAAGTGGAAAACAAAAACAAAAAAGTAGACAAAAAAATGTGGTATGCCCATAACATGAAATATTACTCATCAATAAAAAGGAATGTAGTCATATAAGAAGAAAGAGATGATCCAAACAGGCCTTTAAATAAAAATTAAATCAATAATTAATAACCTTCTAAAACAGAAAGTACCAGGTCCAGATGAGTTCACTGGTGAATTCAACAAAACATTTAAGGAAGAAATTATACCAATTCTCTACAATTTCTTTTAGAAGACAGAAGCAGATGGAATACTCCCTAATTCATTCTATGATGCCAACATTACCCTAATACCAAAACCAACAAAGAAATGACAAGAAAACTAGAGATCATTTCTCTCTCAGGAATATCAAAGTCCTCAAACAAAATACTGGCAACCCAAATCCAACAAGTATGAAAAAATCATATACCATGACCAAATGGGATTTATCCCAGGTATGCACGGCTGGTTCAACATTCAAAAATCAAAAACCAATTAATGTAATTCGTCACATAAATATGCTAACAAAGAAAAATCACATGATCACATCAATAACTGCATTTGAAAAAGCATTTGAAAAATCCAGCATGACAAAAACTCTCAGTAAACTAGGAATAGAGGAGAACTTCCTCAACTTGATAAAGAATATTTACAAAAAATTTACAGATAATATTTTACTTAATAGTTAGAAACTAGAATCTTTCCCATTAAGATCAGGCCCAGGCAAAGATGAGCCAACATCATACTAGAAGTTCCAGCTAATGCAGTTAAGATAAGAAAAGGAAATAAAAGATACAGTGATTGAGAAGAAAGAAATAAGCTGTCATTATTCACAAATGACAGACTGTATAAGTCAATAGCTTTCCTATATACTAGCAATGAACAAGTGGAACTTGAAATTTAAGACATAATACTTTTTTCATTATCAGCACCCCGAAAATTGAAATACTTAGGTTAAGTCTGAAAAAGTATGTACAAAATCTTATGAGGATAAATACAAAACCCTATTGCAAGAAGTCAAAGAATACATCCCATATTCATATACAGAAGACTTAGCATTGTCAAGATGTCAATTCTTCCCAACTTGATCTATAGATTCAATGCAATCCCAATAAAAATTGTGGCTATCAATATACTAATGCTAAAATTTATATGGAGAAGCAAAAGACACAGAATAGCTGGCTCAATATTGAAAGAGAAAGAACAAAGTCAGAGAACTGAGAGTGTTCGACTTCAAAACTTATTATAAAGCTACAGTAATCAAGACAGTGAGGTACTGGTGAAGAATAAACAAACAGACCAATGAATAGAACAGAGAACCCAGAAATAGACCCCCATAAATACAATCAGCTGATCTTTGACAAAGGAGCCAAGGCAATATAATGGAGCAAAGACAGTCTTCTCCACAAGTGGTGCTTGGAACCAGTGCATATCCACATGCAATAAAAAAAAAAATGAACCTAGACAGAGACCTTACACCCTTCACAAAAATTAACCCAAAATGGATCACAGGCCTAGATGTAAAATGCAAAACTATAAAATTTCTAGGAGATAATGTAGGAGAATATCTAAATGACCTTGGTTTGGCAGTGAGTTTTTAGACATAACAACGGAGGCACAATCCATGAAATGAGAGAGACTTCCCTAAAATTAAAAATGACTGCTCTGTGAAAGACACTGTCCAGAGAAGGAAAGGACAGGCCACAGACTGGGAGAGGATATTAACAGAGACACATCTGATAAAGGACTGTTATCCAAAATATAGAGAGAACTCTTAAAATTCAACATTAAGAAAACAACCCAATTAAAAAATGGGCCAAAAATCTTGACAGGCATTTCACCGAAGAAGAAATACCAATGGCAAAGAAGCATATGAAAAGATGCTCCACATGAAATGCACATTAAAACAACAAGGAAATACCACCACACACCTATCAGAAAGGCTCAAATTCAAAACACCAACACCAAATGCTGATGAGCACATGGAGCAACAGGGATTCTCATTCATGCCTGGTGGGAATTCAAACTGGTGCAGACACTTTGGAAGACAGTTTGGCAGTTTCTTATAAAATTAAACTTATTCTTACAATATGATCCAGCAATCATCTTCCTTGGCATTTACCCAAAGGATATGGAAACTTCTGTCCACACAAAAACCTGCACACAAAATAGGCACTTTAATCAAAATAGCCAAAACCTAGATGCCACCAAGCCATCCCAGATGTCCCTGAGTAGATGAGCAGATAAATAAACTGCAGTACATCCATTGAGACATTACTCAATGCTAAAAAGAAATGAACTCTCAAGTCACGGAAAGACATGCAGGAACCTGTTATATGTGCACATCAGTATGTGAAAGAAGCCGGTCTGAGAAGGCTCCCAACTGCATGATTCCAACTCTACGATACTCTTGAGAAGGCAAAACAAAGGAAACAACAGAAGGATCGGTGGTTGCCAAGCGTTAGGAGGGAGGGAGGGATGAACAGGCGGACAGGACCACAGGGAAATCAGGAACTAGTCTGAATGACACCAAAGCGGAGGGGACATGCCATTACACATGTATGCAAACCCACAGAATGTGCAAAATCAAGAGTGACTCCCAGTGTAAACTATGGACTTTGGGTGATTATGATGTGTCACATGCAGGTTCATCAACTATAAGAAATGCACACCCTACTGGGGATGCTGGTAATGGGCAAGACTATGCACCCATGGAGGCAGGGGGTAGGGAATTTCTGTACCTTCCTCTTAATTTTGCTGTGAACCTAAAAAGTGCTCTACAAAATTAAACCTATTAGAAAAGAAGGAATAAAGTACTGATATATGTCACAACATGGATGAACCTTAAACAAGTATGCTACAGAAGCCAGACACAATAGGCCACTTACTGCATATGGTTTCAGTCACACATGATGTTCAGAACAGGTAAACCCAGAGACAAAAAGTGGCTGCCTAGGGTTGGGGGTTTGGGGAAATACAGGGAGTAACTATGAATGGGCAGGGGGTTTCTCTAGGGGGCAATGAACACGTTCCAAAATTAGATAAGGGTGATGGTTGAACAACTCTATGAATATGACAACAAACAGCAAATTATATGCTTTAAAAGGGTGAATTATGGTGTGTGAATTTTATCTCAACAAAGCTGTTATTTTTTTTTAAGTCACAGTCAAACCTGACCATATCAATAATTAAACATTAAGAAAACAGACTACAAAAAGGATTAAAAAACAATTATATTATAAGCTTCCAATTATAAGCTTATCTATGAGACTCACTTTAAATATGAAGAAAAAGGTGAAATAAGTGGCTGAAAAAATGTATACCATGCAAATAAACAGTAAGCATAAGGTAGAGTGAATAATACCAGATAAAACAGATTTCAAAACAAAATGTATTATGAGGTAGAAAGAATACTTTGTGACTGTAACAGTCAATTCCAGAGGACAACATAACAATAATAAATGTGCATGCACCCAAGAACAGAGCTTCAAATGTATGAAACAAACATTGACAAATTAATTAAAAGGAGAAAGAGAATTATACAAACATACTTGGGGATTTTAACACTGATCTCTAAGCAACTTACAGAACTACACAAAAAACTAGCAAAGATATACAAGATCTTTATATTTTCAATCACATTGGCTTGATTGATAGAACTGACTTAGAGAATATTATACTTAATAACATCAGAGTATATATATTTTAAGTGTACACAGTACCTTTACTAAGACCATACACCCTTAAATCTTAAAAAGTTTTAAAGATTTACAGAGTATGTCCTTTAACCAAGATGTAATTAAGTTAGAAATCAATAAAAATAAGATAGCCAGACAACTCCCACTGAATTTGGAAAATAAATAATATTCTTCTCAATAATCATTGGATCAAAGCAGAAATCACAAGAGATACTAGAAAATATTTTGAACTGAGTAATAAGGAAAATACGACAACATAAAAATGTGTGAGATGTAACTAAAGCAGTGTTTGGAGGTTTACATCTACATGCCTCTAAAAGAAAAGGTCCCAAGTTGATGACCTAAGTTTGCACCTTAAAAAATGAGAAATGGCTGCAAATTATACCCAAAATAAACAGAAGGAAATAACAGAATAGAAATCGATAAAGTTGATAACTTCTAGCTGCACTGATCAAGAAATGAAGAGAGGAGAAACAAATTATCTGTATCAGCAATGGAAAAGGAAATATCGCTACAGACTGTTCAGATGTTAAAAGCATTAAAAAGGGGATAATTTGAACTCTGTCAATATATCTGACAATTCAAATGAAATGCATTTGGGGGCAAGAGCAGAAGCCTAAAGGTTCTAGGACGGGGACGTATTCAGGGTACATTAGCTGGGGCAGGGGCTGTGCACAGGACGCTGCTGTCTGAGCAGTCTAAGGGTAGAGGGTCCGACAGGTAGAATCTGGCCAGAGGGCAATGGGGAGCCAGCAGAGGTGCTAAGTAGATAAGTGGCCTGGTCTGGTCAAGTTTGAGCTTTAAGGGAAGGCTCTCCAGCTGCTTCTGTGTAAAGAATACCTGTGAGAAGCAAGCCTGGAGGGAGGCCAGCACCACTGTCCAGGGAACAATGGTAGGACATGGGGGTGAAGGGAGGGGAGGGAGGCAGGGTCAGGACCTGGGGCCTGGCATGGGGTGCTGGGGAGAGAGTGAGGCTGCCCCAGAGTTGGGGTCCCAGAAGGTGCGGCAGGCTGCTAAGAATGGAGCTTTGGCCCTGGAGCCTGCAGAGTGCATGAAACCAGACACAGCTGGGGGAGGCCTAGGGAGGGCAGCAGGGTAGTACCACTGTGCCCGTTTTCCCTGTCCCGGCCCTGCCAGGAGGGACTCAGGAGCCTACCTGAGGTTCAGGAAAGGGCATGCAGGGATCATCAGGGAGGCCGGCACAGACCCCCACTAAGGCCAGGAGAGCTCATGGCCTGAATACACGCAGCACCGCCTCATTCTCCCACACTAACCCAGGGGCAGGGGGGCTGGGTCCATGGGGACGCTTGGCCCAGTGAGAATTGGGGTGGACCCGGGAGAGGGTCCCAAGACGGCAAGCGTAACATCGAATATGCAGAGAGAGGAAGCAGGGCTTAATCAGAGTGACACAGCACCTGGCCTCCCACTAATGACCTCCTCCAGGCCCTAACCCCAGGCTACACGAAACCTGCCCCACCTGGGCCCACCCATCTCACTAGGTAAACCCCCTCTGCTGCCCCCAGAGCAGAGAGGATCCCCTCCCTCCAACCTCTACCTTCTCAACCTCTTCCTTCTACTTTCACCCCTATTTCTTCTGCCTTTGCTTAGCCAGTTCCGCTCCCCTCTTGTGGTTCAGCCTGGGTATCGCCAACAGGGTGGCCACTCTGACCAGCCCAGGATGGGTCAGGGGCTCCCCTTAGGCTCCCCAAAACCCCCAGGGTGCAGCTCTCAGACCTCTCTGCTTCCCGTAACTGCTGACATGAAACATCTGACTGGGATGCATTAATGGTGATGATCACTCTGCCCAGCTCTGGAGACTCTCACAGGTCACCATAGGTCAGGGCCACCTCACCAGCGCCCCTATGACCAGGAAGGGGCTGGCCTCCGAGGCAGGGTCCACCAGCTCCCAGCTCAGCTCCCACCCTTCTCTGAGCCTCAGCTCCCTCACCTGGGGATGGGGCAGAGGTAGACCTGCAGCCCACCTGCCGGTACTCACCCATCAGGCTCTGCCGCTCCCCCTTCTTCCGGGCCTTCTGCTTGGCCTCCAGCTGTACCACTGACAGGGCCAGCCCCGCTGCGGGGCTGGGGAGGGCGCTGGCTGCAAAGCGGGCCAGCAGGCCCAGCCCACTCTCCTCCAGGCCTGGCGACAGGGCCCGCTCACGGGCCCCCAGCCTAGCGCCGCCACCAGTCTCGTCCTCCTCCTCCTCCAGCTCATCCTCCTCGTCCTCCTCGGAGCTCTCATCTGGCGTGTAGAAAACAGAGGCGAGTCAGAGCCTTGGCCTGGGTATGTGCCGCCCCCCCACCGTCCCCCACTCTGCCTGAGCGCCAGCAAGGGGGGGCCACAGCTCCAGCCAACTCCTCACTCCTCACCAGCTGGGGGTGGGTCCGGAACCAGCCCACGAGTCCCCCCCTTTTGGCCCAGTGTCCCCATCAGAGCGAGCCCAAGACCTGAGCATCCTGGACAGCCCAGAGGTGGGCAGCGGCTTTGGGGATCAGTGGGTTTCTGTAAGGGGAACATCAACATGCACCTGTGCTGTGGGGAAGGGGACAGACACACGGACAAGGACTGGAGCCAGCGCTCGCCACAGTCTCACGCACACGCGCACACACGCCCCAACATACAACATGAAGGCTGAGGAAGGAAGCAGGAGAGAAGGAAAGAGGAGAGGGCAGGAAGGGCTGGGGGCTCAGGCTGTTGGGCACAGGTGCTTGGGGGGAGTTTTGCCAGCTGGAGGCCTGGGAAGTGGTGGCAGGAGAAGGTGGAGTTTGGTCTCTTCTTGGTGGCAGGACCCCATGGTTGAAGCCCGGAGAAGGCACAGAAACTGTGCTGTTCCTGTCCCCAGAGGAGTCACAGGGAGCCAGCTAGGCAGGGAGGTAGAGGGTGCCCCAGGAGGAGACCAGCCCAGTGGAGTCATGTGCTCAAGCAGGACTCAAACCCTGGGCTGGCTGGCTTGTCACCCACGGAGTAGTGCAGTCTACAGCAGCCCCGGCTTGTCACTCCGGTTGGTGAACAGAGATGCACTTCTCCCCGGAAACCAGCCCTGCTGCTGCAGACCTGCAGCCCCAAGCCCAGCTCAGGCTCTGGGGACAAGGGCGGGGCAGGCAGAGGGACAGGCAGGGAAGATGGTGCTTGCTCCACGCATGTGAACATGTGAACCAAGCCCTCCACAAATGAGACAGACTGTTGGAGATACAGGTGTGCTGTGATCTTCCCAGGAAGACAACCCAGCTAGCCATTTGAGGGCAGGCTGCGGGAAAGCATGGGGGGCTAACTGCCCGCCACCTGCCTCTGCCAAGGAGCCACGGGGACACCTGCCTGAGGGTGCCTGTCTGCCCAGAGCTCTGGGAGCGTAGAGGTGGCTCTGGGGGCCACTGGCCAAGGGCGGAGCCAGGCAAGGTTGACTCTCCAGCAAGAAGAGGCGGGAGGGAGATAAGGAGGCATGCCATATCCCCCAGTCAGTCTCTGTCTTGGGGCAAAGAGCAGCCCAGGCTGGGGGAACAAGGAGCAGGGATGGCCAGCCAACTCCACATTCTCCTGCAAACCCAAGTGCCTATTTGCTTGAGTAACTAGCCACCTGAAGTGGCAGTCCTGGGGGTGCCGAGGGCAGGGGTTCTGCCTCCCCATTTACCCGAGGAGCCCGGGTCTCTGCTGAGTGACCCCTTGGCAAGGGAGGCAGTGGTGAGCTTAAGGAATCTCTGATGGGAGTGGAGAGAGGAAGGAGGCAGAGAGAGAAGAGGTTTGTTAAGACGAGTGAGAACATGGAGACCGGCTCCCAGAGCAATGGATGGAGTGGATGGAGTCAGCGGGGCAGGCAGGCGGCAGGCAGGCAGAGCACACTTGCAATCCATTCACATTGCAGACATCACACGGTTCTGTCTCCGCCCCAGTGGGTCACAGCAGCAAAGCAGGCTAAGTGTAGGCAGACTTCCACAGCGTCTGGGTCCCCCACATCAGGCCTCCCTGGGGTTGGCCAATTTGAGCAGGGTGGGGGCACGGGGCTGGCAGGGTGGGAGCATGGGGTTGGGCATGTGGCCAGCTGTCCCTTGTAGAGATAGCCTTCCCGGGGTGGCTCAGGTGTGGAGACTCCAGAACTCTGCCGTCCAGGATTCTCTACCGGCAGGGTCCAGCGAGGGAGGGTTGGCTTTGGGTTTCCGGATGCCCAAAATGTCCATGACAGACCCCAGAAAGCCAGGAGCAGCCTGGTCCCAGCACCCTGAGACAGGAGAGCAGCCAGAAGGCAAAGCCAAACAAGGGTGAGCTTTCCACCAACTGGAGTTGCAGATTATCTTGGCCTCCTGAGACCCTCCCCGCCTCCCGTTCGTCCGAGCCTGACAAGCCCACCCTGGCTGCCTCCCCCGGTGGCCGGTCTCAGACTGGGGTCTGCAGGGCAGGGGAGTAGAGGGGGTGTCAGGACCAAGCTCTCTGGAGCTGTCCACACCTGAGGCAACAGAGCTTGCCAAGGGCAGGGGACAAAAAGCCCCAACAAAGAAACCCAAGGAAATGCAGAACTTTTTATGAGAAAAAATCTCTTGGCTCAGGATGTGCGGCTGCTGTAATTTGGTGCGGTCTGGTTTGGGTCTGGTACAGGAAATGCCAAAGCTGCTGCCATAGCCGGTGGGGGCAAACCCCAAGGAGGGGGGGTGCAGAGGGGACACAAAGAAAAGGGTTTTGCCTACCTACGGAGCAACGAGCCAGGCTCGGACCCAAGCTCAGTGACCCGCTGCGCCGTCTGCCCTACTCCCAGCCTTCGCTTTGCGTCCAGAGTGCAGCGTGAGAGCAAATGCAAGAGACCAAAACAGACATTCAAAGCATCATGGGTAGGGGTCAAGGGTGAAGGTATGGTCAAGCTGCTGGGAGGAGAAAGCAGACACACTAGAAAAGCCAAGCCAATTAGGTGTTTAGTATCAGATGTCAGTAAGGCCCTATTACCCAAACATCCCCAGCAAGACCTAACCACAGTCTGTGTGCAGCGGAGCCCCCCAACCCCTAATCCCTCCACTCTCCCTATCTGGGCTCTGTCCACTGCTGTGTCCAGCCCTGGTGGCCTCCAAGGTCCCAACAGCTCCCTCTTTCTACTCTGGGCAAATGGCCACTTGCTAAGCAATCTAGGGGGCTGCCTGCTTCTCTACAAGGTCTGAGCTGGCACAGAGCTCAAAGAACTTGGAAGCTGGAACTCTGGCTTTAATGGGGAGGAGGCATGGAGGTCCAGCCCAGGCAAGGTGGGGGAGAGAGAGGGCTAGGGAAGGGCAGGAGTGGTGAACCAGCCAGACGTGTCCACAGAAGCCCAGGCTGGGGCAGGCCTCAGAAAACGAGGCTAGCTGGCCAGCTAATGGCCTTTTAGCTCAGCCCAGATTGCCTTCACTCAGGCATAACAGTAGCCCAAGAGAACATGAGCCCCAGCTGCACTGGGCTACGTGCTGTGCGTCACCGCAGGGCATGGCTGGGATGGGGCAGCATCCCTGTCCCAGGGACAGAACCAGTTCCCAGGAAGCCTGGCCCAGGCCTTACTCAGGAAGCACCAGGGTCTAGGCTCTGCCACCTGGCTGCTGCTATCCCAGCGCTGGAATCCCAGGAGAGGGTCGGCCCTGGAGCAAATCCTAAACCAGGGACAGAAGCATTTAAGGCTCCTCTGGCTCTCCCAGCCCCCTGGGGACACTCCTGACTGGGGGGCCTGGCGGTTCTGACACTTCTAACTCCAGAAGTGGAGTCTGGCGTTAGAGAAGGCCAAGTCAAGCTGTGGGCAGGGGTCACTGAATGGAGCCTCTTTTCCCAAGCGAGACGGAGGAGGCCCCCAGGCTGGACTGAGCGGAGCGGACCCGAGGGCTGGCAGGCCGGTGCCCTCTCCAAAGCACTGGGCTTTTGGCCCTCAACGCAGCAAGCAGCCCGCATGTTCAAATTTCCCAACAAAACTTGGGGGCAGCAAATAGTCTTGACCCTGCACTGCCTGCAAGCCCTTCAAAACAGAAATGTGTTAGAAAACAAGTGTTTGTAAATATTTTTAAACCACTGTTGCATAGGAACAGAACTTTAAGAAAATAAAAGACAAACAAGAAGCTTAAAAAAAAAATGAAGCTGGAGGTGAAAGCAGTTGACTTTAAACCTGAAAAATGAAAGGCATGCCAACAGCCACCAGGGGTATTTGAATAACAGAGAAAGCAGCAGATGTGTTATTCCACCTCTACCCCTGCTGGGGTTGGGGGGGAGGAGGGAAGGGGAAGGAGGAAAAAAATGAGGGAAGCGGCAGCCTAATGGCCTAGTAAGGACACAGCAAGAGAGACAAGGCACACGGGTTTAGTTAAAAATGAACTCGGTATGTTTAATAAAGCTTGGTATTACCAAAATCGCAGTACAAACATCAAGTCACACGCCCACACGACAAAATTCCATTTACAAAATGTCCCTCAGGAGGCCTCCAGCAGCCCAGGCCTGGGCAAGGGAACCCCGCCCAGGCCTGCAGTCTAGGGAGCTGAGGAGGCGAGGGGCCACAGAGGGAGAGTGGAGAAAGGTGAAGACTAAAAACAGTCCATATAGAAGCTCAAAAAGAGCTAGCCAATGGTATTAACACAATGATACAGGTACAAATAAAAACAAAAATGGGAATACTGAGGCAGATAAAGCAGGCTACGCTGCCAAGAACCAAGATGGCGCCCTTCCCGTGGCCCTAACCGTGGCCCTTGCCGTGGCCGTCCCGGTGGACCACTCGGCGGCCGCCATCTCTCGCGCTCGCTCTCTCGCTCTCACTCACTCTCGCTATAAAACATGGAAGGTATTGTGTGTTTGGAGCTAGTAACCTTGGTCAAATGAGTCCTCCGAAGTATCGCTGAAGGAGGAACGGGCCTCGACCTCTTGAAGCAGCAAACAAAACGGCTGCTTCCTGCTGGTGGCCAACTTGGGTTCCAGAGTCCGGGTGGCCGCCAGGCCCCTCTTGGTCAGCTGGGGGCTCCCAGCTGGCTTGCCGGTCTTCACCGCCATTCCGCACAGGAGGGGCGATGTCAGCTTGGAGCTGGAAGGGCCCTGGGCAGGCCACTCGTCCTTCAGGAATTCTTCATCTTCCTCTGAGTCCGTATCTGCAGTCAAAGTAGTTTTTAATAAAGGTAAGTCACAGAGCACGGGGGATGGGAGGGGGCTGGTGTCCCTCTTTCATTATTCTCAGTGGTTTGGAGAACACCCCGGTTCATACCAGCACAGCACAGCAAGGTCCAAATGCCTACCGGCCATGGAACAAGCTGGGTCACACTTCCTGGAGCTCTCCTCCAGACCTGGGCCTCTTGCCCTCACCTGGGAGGCCTCAAAGCCACAGACATCACATAGCTCATCTTCTGTGGGCTTGAACCCAGGCCCTTTCCAGATTGGCTGCCTCCCGCAACGCCCACCACACAACCAGCTCATTTCCAGGACCGAGGGAGGTGGGAGCCCCACTCTCAGCAGGGCTTTTCCCTGGTCACAGAGGTCATCACTGAGTCCCGCCTATTCCACAGGACTGCACCCAGCCAGGGCCTCCTCCTGGCAAGGGAAGAGGCCCAGGAGGAAAAAGGGCTCGGGTACAGCTCCTCCCCCTGAATACCAGCTTCCAGGGGTGTGCTGGGCCGGCACATGCAGACTCTAACAGTGATCACACCCAAACTCCCCAGCTCCCCGCTCACAAGGTCACAGTGGTGCCTTGAAATAGGCCACGGTGTGAGCAGTACACTGAGGAAACTGGCAAAGGATGTTACAACTCGGGGCTTCTCCCCACTCTAAATCCTATCAGAGAGCCAGGTTATCAACACCCCACATGCCTCTGCCCTGTCTACCCTGGTGAGGCCTGGATTCTCCAGCTTTCCTGAGAGGGGCAACCCCAGCTTTGGAGAGGGTGTCAGGTGAGCACAGCCCCAGCCCCTGCCAACCACGCACCAAACATACGCATACCACTCTGACCTATTTCACATATGGGACTGTCAAGCAAGGTATCGCTGGAAGAAGGGGCTCTATAGCCAAAACCTGTAATCCGCAGACCTGAAAAAATCCAGTCTGACCATAAGGAATGTTCACAAGTGCAGCTACAGCTTTGGCCGTGCCTGCCATCAACTACACGTGCACATGTCGGAGGCAGAGGGTCCCCTGGCTGCCTCCTCCAGTGCCTACACTTTTCACTTTGACCACAGCTCAAGAGCAGAATGGCTTGCAGCTCTGGGTGAGACAAGAACAAGCCCCGCCTGTACCAAGCCACAGCTCTCCCTGCCACGTGCTCCATCCCGTCATTCCCAAGGCCACATCCCAGGCTGGAGGTGCCCATGGGTGACACCGACCAACCTGGCTTCCTACCAGGCATGCCACCATCCCCTACAACCCTCAGAGAAAAGGCAAGAGGCCAGTATTCTCTCTTCCCACCGTGACCAGCACAGCATCTCTGCTAGAAAATCCCGACCTCTGTGACTGCACTCCCACTTACCTAGAACTGTGGAAACGCCAACAGAGAATACAGAGAGAGGTGTGCTCTCCACAACAAGCTGCAGATCTAGCCAGCATCTGGCTGAAGATGGGCCTTCTAACCTCCTCAATGCAAAGACAACTCATTTCTCTCACGCAGACAGTGGAGTTTCAAACAAAGGCACAAGAGTTTGACTGCTGCTTGGTGTGCACACACCTGCTGCAGAGCACACTTAGAGAGTACTCCAAAGACCTCAGGGACTGAGCAGCTCTCTGATCTCTAGCTGCCCCACCCATATCCACCTCTAAGTGGGGCAATGGGTAATTCTGCCAGCAACCCCCAGGCCACACTCTCCCTTCAAAGATCAAAGGGGCAGTGATTCTCCTCGCCTCCCTCTTCATTACTCCAAAACAAGCAGAGACAGAGGCAGAAAGAGCTGGAGGAAGCCTTTCCCTCCTGCAGGGCTGTGAGTCTCTGAAACTGGCCTGTAGGAGCAGTGACCTGGGGAATGCTGTTCGATCACACCCATTGGAATCAGGGGGTCACAGAAGCTTTGGAAACTGAGAATGTCCTCTAAGGCACATAGGAGCTGCGTGCCTCTTGCACTTCTGAGCATCAGCCCACAGACCCATTATTCCAAGGCAACCAAAACCATGAACATTTAAAAAAATCACAATAGCAGCTGAATCTTGTGCCAGGGGCCACATCCAGCTCTTCACCAACATGAATTCACTTGAAGGTCATAACAGCCTCCAATAAGCCGTGTGAGGCAGGTGGTGATATCTTAACTCCAAGTCCATAAAAACTTTACTTTCTTTCCTTAATAAAACACTTCATTATAATATTAAATATGTCCACTTTTTGCAGTTGTCATTCAACCCCCACCCCCACCAAGAGCCAAGCAGAGACAATCAAAAGCCAGACACACAGATCAGGCAGTGGCCAATGAAAAAGCCCTTCACCCAGCCAGGGCCTGGGATCTCCCAGGACAAACTCTGCTGACAGGTGCCCAGAGCCGAAAGGCCCCTCCTGACCTTCCTACTGGCCACACAGTGTGCATCCGTCCTGGGTATTAGGTGTTCTGCCCACAGATGCTGACCGAGGACCCATTAGGCATCACACAGCAACTTGGGGCCACCAGAGGCCACGGAGAGCCGGCCATGGGTGACCAAGGCTGCCTGGCTCAGAAAACCAGTCCCTGAGTCCCTGGTGAAGAAGCACCCACTGGAGACCCCAGTCAATAAAACCGAGTGTCTCACTTCAAGGCTCGGTCACACGGGGCTGGCGGCCACCCCCTGGGCACGCACAGACCACGTTCAACCTGTCAGGAAGTCGGAGCAGCCAAGGACGGCAGGCGGGGCATCTACCCTCAGGAAGAAGACGGGGTAGCCATTTGGAGGACAGTCACCAAGGTAAACTGACATACTGCCCATTCGGCGTCCAGCACAGTCTGACAAATGCGGCCCTTCCTGACCTACGGCCCGAGGATGGACAGCCACCTGCAGGCAGGGGAGTCCAGGTCATCTCTACGGACCGACGTGCAGCAACCCACAGCGGGCGGCCACCAGTTCTGTGGGGCCAGGCCTCGCGACCAATGGCTTTCTGGCCCCCCAGCGGGGCACAGTCACTGGCGGGCACGAGGACTTCCGCTCCCACCCACCAATCACTGGCGCCCACGAAACACAGGCACCTTCCCAGCACGACGCACGCCAATCAGTTATTTCCACTTCAGGCACCCGCCCACTTCCAGCGTGGAGCCCGCGCAAAGACAGAAGAGAGACCCTCGCGCGCCCAAGTAGGACAGAAAGAGGAGGAAGAGGAGGGGAGAAGAGGGGGAGGCGCGCTCCCAGGGGGCATGGCTTCAGCTACTTACTGTAGGAGTAGCTGCTCACTTCCGAGGCGAATGGGGAGTGGGCCGACTTGGGCTGGCCTCTGGCCTTGAACCCCACCTCCATCTTTCTGGCTTTGGCGCCCCTTTTGTGTTTACCTTCTCTGGAGGGTTTCAGAGATAGGCTGAGGCCTTTGGCCAGCGCCTTCCTGTCTTTGCCCAGCAGGCTGTCGTAGGGTGTCAAGTACCTGCCGCAGCCCCCGCTCGTTTTGGATCTCCCCCCAGAACTGTCCGAGAACTTGAAGGGTGACTTCAACTTGTCCTGCTTTGTGAGGGAGAGGGCCCTGTCCAGCTTGCTGGCCAGCTGCTCCTGGTCGCTGGCCATCTTCTTCTTCTTAATCTTTAGCTGGAGAGGCAAGTTGGGAAGTCACGGGTTAAGATATTTGGCAAACAGGACAGTGGTTTCAGGGCACAAGCTCTGCTAAACCTGGGCTCCAATTCTCCCTGCCTCTGGTTTCTGCCAAGCTGCTTAACTCAGCCTCAGTTCTTTTACTCTGTAAAATGGGGATAATTTATGTAGAAGGACGTCACAGGGTTCTGAGGATGGACTGAAGACAAGGCCCATGAAGCACTTATTGAGCAGCTGTTACTGGGTCCAATAATCACTGACGTTCCCACTTGGCTGTCTGTGATACTATCTGGTGCCTCCCAGGGATGTACTTTAAGCAAGTAGTGCTGCAGATGAGTGGGAGAAGGCGGCTGGAGTAAGGGAGGAGTAATGGAACCAAGACTGAAAAACCCAGACCATAGCACACACGGCTGATCTGATTGTCTCAACCACACAAAGCAGCTGATGAGGACAGCCCCACAGCCTGAAACAGCCCATCCAAGTAAATGGGCCGAAGCTACCCAGAACTGCCTTGGACGCCTGAAGCCGAAAGAACGATTAGAGATTTCACAGATTAAATTCCTGCCTGCACCTCTCCTGGCTGTAGTCACTTGCTGTTGAAGTGAAATGTAGTTTCAAAGCCATTGATGTCCCTCATTGAAACATTTTATCTCTATTTTCTTTAATCAGGTAACATTTTATAACAAGAAAAAAGTAAGATAGTGTCATTAAAAACAAAAGTATCTTTTACAATTTGAGAGGATAAAAGGACCTGACATAAAAACTGGCTCTCTTCTCTCCACCTGGATCCCGTCTCCCTTATGTTTAGCACGGGGGATGGGAGGGGGCTGGTGTCCCTCTTTCATTATTCTCAGTGGTTTGGAGAACACCCCGGTTCATACCAGCACAGCACAGCAAGGTCCAAATGCCTACCGGCCATGGAACAAGCTGGGTCACACTTCCTGGAGCTCTCCTCCAGACCTGGGCCTCTTGCCCTCACCTGGGAGGCCTCAAAGCCACAGACATCACATAGCTCATCTTCTGTGGGCTTGAACCCAGGCCCTTTCCAGATTGGCTGCCTCCCGCAACGCCCACCACACAACCAGCTCATTTCCAGGACCGAGGGAGGTGGGAGCCCCACTCTCAGCAGGGCTTTTCCCTGGTCACAGAGGTCATCACTGAGTCCCGCCTATTCCACAGGACTGCACCCAGCCAGGGCCTCCTCCTGGCAAGGGAAGAGGCCCAGGAGGAAAAAGGGCTCGGGTACAGCTCCTCCCCCTGAATACCAGCTTCCAGGGGTGTGCTGGGCCGGCACATGCAGACTCTAACAGTGATCACACCCAAACTCCCCAGCTCCCCGCTCACAAGGTCACAGTGGTGCCTTGAAATAGGCCACGGTGTGAGCAGTACACTGAGGAAACTGGCAAAGGATGTTACAACTCGGGGCTTCTCCCCACTCTAAATCCTATCAGAGAGCCAGGTTATCAACACCCCACATGCCTCTGCCCTGTCTACCCTGGTGAGGCCTGGATTCTCCAGCTTTCCTGAGAGGGGCAACCCCAGCTTTGGAGAGGGTGTCAGGTGAGCACAGCCCCAGCCCCTGCCAACCACGCACCAAACATACGCATACCACTCTGACCTATTTCACATATGGGACTGTCAAGCAAGGTATCGCTGGAAGAAGGGGCTCTATAGCCAAAACCTGTAATCCGCAGACCTGAAAAAATCCAGTCTGACCATAAGGAATGTTCACAAGTGCAGCTACAGCTTTGGCCGTGCCTGCCATCAACTACACGTGCACATGTCGGAGGCAGAGGGTCCCCTGGCTGCCTCCTCCAGTGCCTACACTTTTCACTTTGACCACAGCTCAAGAGCAGAATGGCTTGCAGCTCTGGGTGAGACAAGAACAAGCCCCGCCTGTACCAAGCCACAGCTCTCCCTGCCACGTGCTCCATCCCGTCATTCCCAAGGCCACATCCCAGGCTGGAGGTGCCCATGGGTGACACCGACCAACCTGGCTTCCTACCAGGCATGCCACCATCCCCTACAACCCTCAGAGAAAAGGCAAGAGGCCAGTATTCTCTCTTCCCACCGTGACCAGCACAGCATCTCTGCTAGAAAATCCCGACCTCTGTGACTGCACTCCCACTTACCTAGAACTGTGGAAACGCCAACAGAGAATACAGAGAGAGGTGTGCTCTCCACAACAAGCTGCAGATCTAGCCAGCATCTGGCTGAAGATGGGCCTTCTAACCTCCTCAATGCAAAGACAACTCATTTCTCTCACGCAGACAGTGGAGTTTCAAACAAAGGCACAAGAGTTTGACTGCTGCTTGGTGTGCACACACCTGCTGCAGAGCACACTTAGAGAGTACTCCAAAGACCTCAGGGACTGAGCAGCTCTCTGATCTCTAGCTGCCCCACCCATATCCACCTCTAAGTGGGGCAATGGGTAATTCTGCCAGCAACCCCCAGGCCACACTCTCCCTTCAAAGATCAAAGGGGCAGTGATTCTCCTCGCCTCCCTCTTCATTACTCCAAAACAAGCAGAGACAGAGGCAGAAAGAGCTGGAGGAAGCCTTTCCCTCCTGCAGGGCTGTGAGTCTCTGAAACTGGCCTGTAGGAGCAGTGACCTGGGGAATGCTGTTCGATCACACCCATTGGAATCAGGGGGTCACAGAAGCTTTGGAAACTGAGAATGTCCTCTAAGGCACATAGGAGCTGCGTGCCTCTTGCACTTCTGAGCATCAGCCCACAGACCCATTATTCCAAGGCAACCAAAACCATGAACATTTAAAAAAATCACAATAGCAGCTGAATCTTGTGCCAGGGGCCACATCCAGCTCTTCACCAACATGAATTCACTTGAAGGTCATAACAGCCTCCAATAAGCCGTGTGAGGCAGGTGGTGATATCTTAACTCCAAGTCCATAAAAACTTTACTTTCTTTCCTTAATAAAACACTTCATTATAATATTAAATATGTCCACTTTTTGCAGTTGTCATTCAACCCCCACCCCCACCAAGAGCCAAGCAGAGACAATCAAAAGCCAGACACACAGATCAGGCAGTGGCCAATGAAAAAGCCCTTCACCCAGCCAGGGCCTGGGATCTCCCAGGACAAACTCTGCTGACAGGTGCCCAGAGCCGAAAGGCCCCTCCTGACCTTCCTACTGGCCACACAGTGTGCATCCGTCCTGGGTATTAGGTGTTCTGCCCACAGATGCTGACCGAGGACCCATTAGGCATCACACAGCAACTTGGGGCCACCAGAGGCCACGGAGAGCCGGCCATGGGTGACCAAGGCTGCCTGGCTCAGAAAACCAGTCCCTGAGTCCCTGGTGAAGAAGCACCCACTGGAGACCCCAGTCAATAAAACCGAGTGTCTCACTTCAAGGCTCGGTCACACGGGGCTGGCGGCCACCCCCTGGGCACGCACAGACCACGTTCAACCTGTCAGGAAGTCGGAGCAGCCAAGGACGGCAGGCGGGGCATCTACCCTCAGGAAGAAAACGGGGTAGCCATTTGGAGGACAGTCACCAAGGTAAACTGACATACTGCCCATTCGGCGTCCAGCACAGTCTGACAAATGCGGCCCTTCCTGACCTACGGCCCGAGGATGGACAGCCACCTGCAGGCAGGGGAGTCCAGGTCATCTCTACGGACCGACGTGCAGCAACCCACAGCGGGCGGCCACCAGTTCTGTGGGGCCAGGCCTCGCGACCAATGGCTTTCTGGCCCCCCAGCGGGGCACAGTCACTGGCGGGCACGAGGACTTCCGCTCCCACCCACCAATCACTGGCGCCCACGAAACACAGGCACCTTCCCAGCACGACGCACGCCAATCAGTTATTTCCACTTCAGGCACCCGCCCACTTCCAGCGTGGAGCCCGCGCAAAGACAGAAGAGAGACCCTCGCGCGCCCAAGTAGGACAGAAAGAGGAGGAAGAGGAGGGGAGAAGAGGGGGAGGCGCGCTCCCAGGGGGCATGGCTTCAGCTACTTACTGTAGGAGTAGCTGCTCACTTCCGAGGCGAATGGGGAGTGGGCCGACTTGGGCTGGCCTCTGGCCTTGAACCCCACCTCCATCTTTCTGGCTTTGGCGCCCCTTTTGTGTTTACCTTCTCTGGAGGGTTTCAGAGATAGGCTGAGGCCTTTGGCCAGCGCCTTCCTGTCTTTGCCCAGCAGGCTGTCGTAGGGTGTCAAGTACCTGCCGCAGCCCCCGCTCGTTTTGGATCTCCCCCCAGAACTGTCCGAGAACTTGAAGGGTGACTTCAACTTGTCCTGCTTTGTGAGGGAGAGGGCCCTGTCCAGCTTGCTGGCCAGCTGCTCCTGGTCGCTGGCCATCTTCTTCTTCTTAATCTTTAGCTGGAGAGGCAAGTTGGGAAGTCACGGGTTAAGATATTTGGCAAACAGGACAGTGGTTTCAGGGCACAAGCTCTGCTAAACCTGGGCTCCAATTCTCCCTGCCTCTGGTTTCTGCCAAGCTGCTTAACTCAGCCTCAGTTCTTTTACTCTGTAAAATGGGGATAATTTATGTAGAAGGACGTCACAGGGTTCTGAGGATGGACTGAAGACAAGGCCCATGAAGCACTTATTGAGCAGCTGTTACTGGGTCCAATAATCACTGACGTTCCCACTTGGCTGTCTGTGATACTATCTGGTGCCTCCCAGGGATGTACTTTAAGCAAGTAGTGCTGCAGATGAGTGGGAGAAGGCGGCTGGAGTAAGGGAGGAGTAATGGAACCAAGACTGAAAAACCCAGACCATAGCACACACGGCTGATCTGATTGTCTCAACCACACAAAGCAGCTGATGAGGACAGCCCCACAGCCTGAAACAGCCCATCCAAGTAAATGGGCCAAAGCTACCCAGAACTGCCTTGGACGCCTGAAGCCGAAAGAACGATTAGAGATTTCACAGATTAAATTCCTGCCTGCACCTCTCCTGGCTGTAGTCACTTGCTGTTGAAGTGAAATGTAGTTTCAAAGCCATTGATGTCCCTCATTGAAACATTTTATCTCTATTTTCTTTAATCAGGTAACATTTTATAACAAGAAAAAAGTAAGATAGTGTCATTAAAAACAAAAGTATCTTTTACAATTTGAGAGGATAAAAGGACCTGACATAAAAACTGGCTCTCTTCTCTCCACCTGGATCCCGTCTCCCTTATGTTTCTTCCCTCTGATGGCCAGATGGAACAAAATAGCCCCCTCGCACAAGGCTTTACAGGGAGAAATTATAAGATACCAGACGCGTCTTAGTGGATGATTTCAAGACTGTCTGCAGAAGTAACAAAAATCAAGGAGTTGGCTCTCACCCCATTACCCTTAGAAGGTTCAGAAGAAATTACAATGCCATCAAGCCCTTGTTTCTTAGAACTACAGAACTGTAAAGCTGCTCATTAAACAATTACACTGTTAAACAACAGAGTAATTGCATTATTTGGTTAAGCACCTATAGTCTTTCTGGCTTTACCAAAAGGTCACAGAGGTACAGGATGTGGCTTTCAGTGTCAGCTCTACCTGAAGCTGTTATTTTGCTAAGTGTCTGACCTGCTCTAGACCTTAATTTCCCCTTCTGTAAGCTGAGGAAGATTGGAGGAGAGTCACCCTGGCACAAAGGCAACCATTCATACAGTCTCTGCACAGCCAGACGGTCAGCAGGCCCGTAAGAGGGTGTGAGCACCAGACAGCCTCCAGACCCCTGCATGACTGCACACCTGGAGGAAGGAGTTACCGACCTGACTCACGAAGTCCGAGGAGGCTTCGTGCTCGTCCCAAAGCTGGCTCCTGCCCCGAGGCCTCCCAGTCCCAGCCAGAGCATCGTGCTCCTCCTCAGGCCCCTTGTGCCTCTTCCTCATCCCTGCTCCCGGCTCATAGTCATCCGATGTCAGCAGGGACTTGCTGCTCAGCCTGAAACCCAGAGGAACCATTGGTCAGCACCCGGCCAGCAAAGGGTTGGGGGTCCATCTTCGTGGCCCTGAAGGGTGGGCCCTGGATGTCAAAGCACAGACAGTGATGACAGACTGACGAGTCTGGGGAGACGGATCCTGTAAAGCTACAGTGCTGGGGTTCTGGGATACTTGTGAAGGAGGCAGAAATAGTTTAATGGGAAAGAAGAAAAATCAAGACAGTACCCCTCTGCTGGCTCCTTCTTTGTGTTCCTTCACACACACTCACACACACATCTTTGCACAGTCAGATACCGCTTTACCAAAAGGTGCCAAGAACTAGTATCAGAAATGCCAAGGAAATCCACCAGGATGGGAGGGGGTTAAGATAAAGAACTTATCTAAAGAGCGAGCCACTGGCTTGGGAGCATAAGTGAGAATTCTTGGGAGAATAAGCAGTCTGATGTGTCCCTGTTTCAAGGCTTCTCTTGCCTGCTTCAAGCTAAATCCTCACAATAATAAAAGCAGCTAATTTTTACTTGGTGCTTACAATGTGTCTTGCTCTATGTTAGTGTTTTATACTTCAGCCACAGAACGATGCTTTGTTCTATGTACTTTTACAGATGAGGAAGCTGAGGCTCAGAAAAGCTGACACCGGGCCTGAGGTTATGACGCCAGGTGGAGCTGGGACTTGAAAAAAGGCCGCACCCACCCCCTGAAGGGCTGCACTGCTGACCAACAGGCCTGCCCTCCTGCGGCCCCAGCCTCTGCTGTCTCCTCCAGGAGCTGCTTTCCCTACCCTCCTGCGGCTGGTGATGGGGCATCTGTTCCTCACTCCATCCTCTCCTCAGTCAGCAATAGCCAAGGTTAAATGCAAAACGTGGTAGCCCTAGGGGCTGTCTTCCCCTGACAAGACCCGTGGCCCACCCACTGCCTCCCCTGTGCCTTTTGAAGGACCCCCATGGCCCCCCTCTGCTTCCTCAAGCCAAGCACTGTGCCACCTAGGACCCGCCGTGCCCCAGTGTCCCAGGCTGAGGCACATTCCAACACCCTTCCTTTTACGGGCCTCACTCAGCACCTGCTACTGCCCAACACCCAGGGAAGCCCACAGCTTCCTTCCTATCTGTGCCCAGCCCGGAGGAAAACCTCCCTACAGCCAGCATTCAAGAAAACTTCCAGCAGTGCCACATGCAGCTTCTGCTGCCACCCAAGGAACTTGTTCCCAGAGTGCACAGGGGAGGCCACCCCGGGTCAAGGAGAAGGCGCAGGCACAACAAGTCAACAGGTCAGGCCAGGAAGACGAGTATGACACCGTCCAGCAGGGAGGCAACCAGGTGACAGCAAGGCTGGGAGAGCAGCAGCGCCCTCTGCAGAGAGGAGGTGTCGCGCAAAAGAGCATGGAGGGAGCAGGTGCGGCAGGAAGATGGGTTAGGAACTGGGTGAAGGCATGGAGACCTCTCTCTGGGATCCTGGCCTGCTCAGTACTGGGACAAGTCTGCCTGCCCAAATGGCACCACCTGCCTGGCTCGCCCTCCTGGCCTGGGCAGGGCACCGTGCTCCCTGGGCTACCAAAGCAGGTGAGTCAGAGCACAAGGGGCTGGAGGTCGCCTGCATCTGGGCCAGTGCTCCTCCCCTCTGAGCTCTGCGCCAGTTCCCGACCCACCGAGGGGCCAGCCTTACTTTCCGCTACTGGTGCGGCTCTTCCCTCTCTTGCGGGGGGGCGACAGGGCGCTCAGGGCGTGCGTCCGTTTCCACGGCCTGCTAGGGCCTCTGCGTGCCAAGCTTCCATGGGATTCCTCGCACCTGTCCCTTAAAAAGAATCACACGCACGGCTGTGAACCTGGCGGTGGGGGCAGGGAGTGCGCGGAAAAAGGACACATGGTGCGCACACATCACTCATGTCCACACACACCTCTGACAGCCTATCACTGCTGACCTACTGAGCACCGGCGCCTACAAGAGCCCGACCAGGGCGCCGCCTGCCGCGGCCTGGTCGCCCAGCCGGCCGGGGCCGCGGGGTGCGGCTGGGGGCTCACTCACTCGGAATCGCGGCGTCTCTGCAGCTTCACCAGCTCTCTCTGCTTCTCTTTGTACTGGCGCTGGACCTCAGCCAGCCGCATCCGGAAGTCCAGCTCCATGGCATCCATATTCTCCAAGGAGGACTTCATGGCGTACATCTGGGGGGAAAGGAGGACTGAGGATGCTGGTGCCCGCCAGCCTCCACTGCTGGTCTCCAGCCTCCACTGCCTGGTCAGGCGCCCACTCTCAGATGGGGAGTGGTGAGACTTCACGGGGACATCTGGGAGGTGAAGACCAGGGCCCGGCTCCAGCCCCATTTCTGCCACTTACTACCTATGGCCTTAGGCAATCCCAGGCTCCTCATCCGCAGGACAGGGATGAAAAACCACCTCTGCTGGGCTGTGTCAAGGCCAAATTAGGCCCGAACTGCTCGAGCAGTTGACACATTATCAGATGGATAAACTGAGGCTTAGGAAGGGCAAACAACTTGCCCAGGACCACCCATGAGGCTGGTGGTGGACGGTGGATTCGGTGCAACTCCACAGCCTGCCATGCCCCAGGCAAGATGGCCTCTCTGTGGGAGCCCCCACCTCCACCCCAACCCCACAGGCCACAGGCATGAAAAAAACCTCACCCGCTCCTCCTTCTTCTGCATCCAGCTATACTTCTTGTTGGGGTTCAGCTCCCGCGGAAGCCGCAGGTTCTTGAGTGGGTCCACAAAGGGGCTGTCCAGCACCTCCTTCAGCATGTGGCTGCTGGCCGCCAACAGGCTCTCCAGAGAGGGCCGCACCGCCAGGCCCCACTCTGCACCTGAAGGCAAGGAGGGGTGATCCAACTGCTGCACTGCCCTGCCTATATGCTTCCTGGGGGTGGACTCAGGGCCTACAGCCAACCCTGCCTCAGACCCCAAACAGGGAGGAGACTGAGGCCCCCAGGATGACTGGACCACAGCATTTCTGAAATGCAGGAAATGGCGCTAAGTGAGAATTGCTGACAGTGTGGGACGCACAGCATGGTCCTGGTTCCAAACATTTACCAGCACACAGAAACTTGCCAAGGGTCACTGAAGGCCAGCAGAGGCTCTTCCTAGTGTGTGGCTCCTGGGCTTGTCCATATAATTTTCCATAAGGAATATGCATGGTTTTCATAATTAGAAAAAAAAGAACCCAAATTAGGTTTTATAAACTGTAAGAGTAATATGAGCTCATGATAAAAAAACACAAACCAGCAGAAAAGGTGTGAAGAAAGGTTGCTGCCAATGACAGTTTCTGGTAGATGGTTCCAGAAACGTTTGCACATATTCAAACATACATAACATACGTGGGCATCCGTTATAAATGTAAAGATGGTATCAATCAACACATATGGTATCAGGCTCTGCTGTTTCCTACTTAACATCTTTTCATATTAGCGCATTAACAGGTATCATCCACTAAACGCTATTGTAAAACTCGTCATTTCTACAGCTCAAACACACTAGAGTAACAGCAATTTTATAAGGCCAAACTGAACAGCCAATAGACTAGAATTCTTGCACTGATGAATTTTATCTAAATAAACCTCAGCAATGGCATTTACGTCATTTATGATTTATTTTGTAATGGACAGATAGGCACACAGCCAGGAGACATGTGTTTTAGGAAGTCCAACCATGTGACAAACATGATCAAGGTACATGCATTTCTCTCTCTGATACTCCAGCTGCCCTTCAGAAGGGTGCACCAACTCAGAATCTCAACAACAGTCCCTGTTTTATTGCACTTTGCTTTACTGTGCTTCACAGATACTGTATTTTTTTTTTTTTTACAAATAAAGGTCTGTGTGTCGAGCAAGTCTATCAGCACCATTTTTCCAACAATACTTGCTCACTTCGTGTTTCTGTCACATTTTGTAGTTCTGGAACTATTTCAAACTTCATCATTATTGTATTTCTTACAGTGATCTGTAGTCAGTGACTACAATGCTCTGAGAGCTCAGAGGACAGTGAGCGTTTTTAGCAAGAAAATATTTTAAAATTTAGGTATGCAATTTTTTTTTTGGAGAACGCTTTCACACACTTAACAGACTATAGTGTAAACGTAACTTGCGTATGAACTGGTAAACCACAAAATCCAGCTGACTCACTTTACTGTGGTATTTGATACCCGTGGTATCTCTGAGGCATGACTACGCACTAGAACCTGTTTCCCCATCTCTCTACCAAATTAACACAAGTTTTTATTTTTTAATTGATGCTTTCTTTATGATCTAACATATATCAATTTTTGTGAACATTCCAGCATGTCCGTTACTATCAGCATGTAACGTTCTGTAAAAGCGACAATAATTTTATCGCACAGGTCAGGGCTTCTAAGCTGTGGCGCTATTCATAGGTGGGTGGCTCATTCTCTGCAGTGGGGGCATCTGACGCAGAATGTCTGGCAGCATCCCCCACCTTTATCCACTAGATGTCAGTGGTACTCCCCCCAAGCTGTGACAACTGGAAGTATCCCTGCCTGTAGACAATCACTGGTTTTGCTCTTCTGTATCCTTACAGAAGAGAAGCTGCAAAACAGTAAAACCCCATCAGCTCCCAAGGCTGGTATTAGATTGAAGCGTGTGGCTCACCCCAAGGTGACACCTGTGTGGCACCCGCCCCCTTCCAGGGCCTCTGAGCATTAAGATTCTTAGTTGCTGGGTGGGAGTTAGCAGGAGAGCTGCTCTGTCACAGAGTGACTGTCACCTCTTTCACCCCCTAACAAACCGGTCTTGCTGTGGCCCTCACCACTGACAGCCAGCAGCTGCTGCAGGTCAAACTGGGTCCCCCCAAATCCGTAGGCTGAAGTCTACTCCCAGACTTCAGCATGTGCCCAAATTTGGAGACAAAGCCTTACAGAAGTAATCAAGTTAAAAGAAGAATTTGGATGGGCCCTAACCCGATACGAATGTGTCCTTATAAAAACGGGAAACTTGGACATAGACATACATAGAGGGCAGATGGTGTGAGAACAGGAGAGGGTGGTCATCTAACCTCCAAGGAAAGAGGCTTCAGAAGGAACCGCCCTGCCAACACCCTGATCTAGAGCTTCCAGCCTCCAGAACCCCGAGACAACAGATTTGGTATTTAAGGTTTTACTACGGCAGCCCTTGCTAACTAACACCAGGCTGGTGGCTTCACCAAAGTGGAGGGGACCCAGGATCAGGCACCAGACGTGCCCCCCCAGGGGACCAGGTACCCATGACAGGGGCTTAAGGCCAGCAGGGGCAGGACGGAGAGAAGGCTGGCTGCTGGGGTTCACTCTGGATTGTGGGGAGCTGCGTGCAGGACATGGGGAGACACAGCCCAGCTCTTAGCAGAAAGACACTCAGTAATCCAACAGCACCTGCTGGGGTGGGAAGAGGGCCACCAGGACCTCCCTCGCCCAGGCTCACACACTTCTACACCCAGCACCTCCGAGGGCATCTGCACCCCAGTTCTGTCCCCAACTCAAGGCACAGGTCCAGCCCTAGGCCTCTGTGGAGCAGCTTTTCTCAAACATCCTGTCCAAACCAGCGGCTGATCTGCCCCCGCCCTGCTCCTCCCACCACCTGCCTGCTCGGAACTGGCAAATCTGCTCTTCACGTCCGAACCTCGGAATCGTTTCCAGCAGCCGCACTCAGTCCACCAACAAAGCCCACTGACTCTACCTTAACTTCCACCCAGACCCACCTGCCCCTCATCTCCACACTCCCCCCATCTGGCACAGACCCCCAAAACTCCATAGCCCCCCAATTCACGAACCCTGGTGAGCCAGTGGAAATAAATTGCAGTACCTTTGCCACAGCTATCGGGGAAGAGGAGACTCTTTTGGAGTCTGATGAACTGAGCAGGGCCCAGACAGAGCTACCCTGACCCCCGACTCTGCCCTTGTCCCTGCATCGGTTCCACACACAGCTCCCAGATGGCCCTATTTAAGTCTGATCCTTTCACTCCAACTCCAAACCATTTCCATGGCTCCCCATTTCACTCAAAGTAACAGGGCCCCAGGGACCTTTCCCCCACCCGCCTCCTGCCACCTCTCTTCCCACTCCAATCCAGCCCTGGCTTCTTGCTCTTATTCCAACACACCAAATATGCCACCGCCTCAGGGCCTTTGCACTCACTGTTCCTTTGGCCTGGAATGGTTTTCCCTAGAAATCTTCCTCTCTCGCCGTTTTCAGGCATCTCATCACAAGGGGCTTCCCCGGCCAGACCCTTCAAAGGACAACCTCTGCCCGGTCCCCACCCAACAATGCCGCAGGCTGCATGTGGACAGCACTGTCCAAAAACAGTGCCAGGCACCCAGTAAGGTGGGCAGTGGCTCCCCAACTGGGCCATCCATCCTGAGTGCCATCCCCACTGAAAACCCACCATCAGTTGGTAGGATGTAGGGCGAGGGTTCATTTTCATCTAGAGAAAAAAATCTTTTTTTTTTTGTACCAACCTACTTAAATGAGAAAAAAACAGCCATGAACTTTAGAACAACAATGACACACAGCCTGGGGGGCGGAGGCGTGCCTGTCCAAGCTTTTGGGGACCATGTGACCACAAGATCGAAAAAGCCTTGAAAATGTGGCCTTGTTTTGACCAGTAGTTCCACCCCTGGGACTAAATCCCCAGGAAAGTCAGAAGTATGAACAAAGATTTCTCTTCAAGGATAATTATCACATTATTTACCAAAAAAAAATAGGATGAGGCAAACAAAAATGCCTGACAATCTAGGATCAGGTCATAGAAGGCTGGGGCCTCCACTGAGTGGAAAACTGGATAGTCCCAAAAATATATATTTCAAAATGCATAACTTTAAAAAACATTTAATAAAAAATATGCTAAGTGGAAAGAGCAGGTTACAGAACATTGTTTAAAAAACAATCTTGATTTTAGAAGTACATGTGCATAGAAAAAGTTCTAAAAGAAATACAATGAAATGCTGGTAATGTTATTATTATCTCCTCAGCAGCTGTCACCTGGGCCCCTCCTCCATGCTGGTTCTGGGCCTAGCATAGGGTGGCAAGGCTGTCCCTGACCCACACCCACTTCTTCACACATCTCTTGGAGCACCCCAGTGTTTTATGTTGGAATCAGTCGATTTATGCACAACCCAGAATTCACTGCACTTCTCCCAAGTCACCCATTTCCTTTGGAGGACTACCCCCCCACTATACCTTAGAGGTGACACCCCCATCAAGGGAAGTGGCCTGGTCAGCTTGGACATGAGCCACACAGGGTTTCCTTCTACAAAAAGCATGAACTCTGGGAGTCAATGAAAATAGATTGTGGCACCTCTGCCAGAGCCACCAGGAAGAAGTGGACTCTCTTGGGAGTCTGCTGAATTAAAAGCAGGGCCATAGACCTGGGAGATAGTACTGGTGAACCCCATGAGGACAGTGGGCCTGCCTTGAATGAGGCCAACAGAAAGAAAAGCAGAGCAAGCAAGAGGAGGGAAAGATGAGAAAGAGGGCACATAGGAAAATAAACTCCTGATGACTTGGTTTGAGCACCTGGATCCAGCCATACCTGAAGCTAATTGCCTAATTATTAATTACCTGATGCACTTTGGTTCCATGAGTCAGTAAATTTCCCCCGCCTTTTTCTAAGCCAGTTCAAGTGAGTTTCTGTCCCTTTAAACCCGAAGATTCCTGCCAGTACAAAACACACCACTGACAGAATGAGGAGAAATCTCACCAAGAAATCCACAGACTGGTTGCAAAACAATGTGAATGTATGTAACATTACTGCCCTATCCACTTAAAAACAGTTATGATGGTAAATTTTATGTTATTTGTATTTTGCCTCAATTTTTTTTAAAAAGACATAAGTAAACCATATCCTGGAGGCTTTCAAAATTTAGCAATCTTATAAAAACTACAAACAAAAAACCCCCACAGAAACCAACCATCCAGCGTGGCTCACCTCCCACTTCCTGGCTCCTCTTCGCCAGCTCCAGCTCCGCGATCTCGCTCAGCAGGGTGATGCCGTGCAGGAAGCCCTGCTCCAGGACCAGGCTCTGCACGGCCTCCAGCTTCTCTGGGGTCTGGGCTCCAGCAGCGGGGGAGGGCAGAGGCCTGGCCTGGGGCAGCTCTGCAGCCGCCACCAGGGCATTCATGCCAGCCAACGGGTCCTCCAGGACAGGCAGGAATGGGTCGGAGCCTGCCTCTTCCAGGAAGCAGGTGCTACCAGGCACAGGTGGGGCCACCCGGGCTTCCAGGCTCAGGCAGTCTCCCCCCCTGGGGGGTATGTCGCCATCTGCCAGTTCTAGGCCAGGCAGGGGCTCGCTGGGGGCCACCTGGGCCAGGACTTCCTTGGGCACTACCTCGGCCACGGGCAGGGTCATGGGCACGTCAACGGGCACCTCCACAGGCTCTTCCTTAGTCTCCACCAGCGTCTCAGGCGTCAGCCGCCTCCCCAGGTCCGGGGAAGCCGCACAGGGTTCTGTCCGGCCCGGTGAATCCACCTGCGCTTCAGCCCCCTTGGCAAAGTCTGGGCACCCGGAGCACTCGGCGCCCCCCTGCCCACCAGCACTCAGTGCCTGGGCCTCCAACAGGCCACCTTCACAGCTGCCTGCAGGGCTGGAGGCCACCATGGTTTCCTCAGGAGGCAGTGACAGTGGTGACTCAAGGGAGGACAGCTCTGTGGGACCCTCGTCCATGTCCTCTATCTCCGCCTTCACCTCCCGCTCTGCCAGCGGCTCTTCACCTGGGCCCTCCCGCAGCGGCTCTGGGATCTTGGAGGGAGACAAGCGGATAGGCTTGTCTTCAGGTGAGAGGGCCAGGCGCTCAGACCCATCTGCCGGGAGCGGCACATCGGGGGCCAGGCCATCGGCATCAGAGGCCGCCGTGGGCTGCAGCAGGAACGGATAGGGCCTCCCGTAGTGTGGTGGCAGGGCCTGAAACGGGTACCTGGATGGCATATCTGTCAAGGACACCAGGAGTTAGGGGGCTTGTGTCTGAATCCCTTGGGTCCCCCTCAATCTCCACCCACCCTCCAGGCAGCACCTAGAACCCAAGGCCCTTCCCCACATGTGGGCCAGAGACACAGAACTAAGTCGCTATCCTGTCCCAAAGGGTCCTCAGGTCTCAGAGGTGGAAACTGCCGCTGGCTCTCTCTCTAACCCCTCCCCACTGGGCACCCAGCTCAAGGCTGGCCCAGAAGTGCCTACAAAGACCACACATGAACTTCTCGGCTGTCTCTGGCCTCTGTCCTGTAAGATTACCCCCCTACATTTAAAGCAGAGCTGGGGTATCCAAGTTGTTCAAAAAGTCAGAGCACACAGTGCCGCACCCTCACGCTTTTATTCTCAACTCCCACCCTCCAGTGTGAGCTCCCTGGGAGTGGGAAGGTGAGTCCCCGCAGGGACCCAGGCCCAGCACAGAGCTGGACAAGCTTCAGGAGCTCAACAGGAACTCCCAGGAGAAGACAGTGGCACTGAACACTCCCCAGGCAGGGATGGGCTTGGCGCTGGACATTAGCATGGCATCAAACCTCCCCAGAGAGGGGTGGCCTCTTGCCCAGGATCACACAGCATTCTGGTGGCAGAATCTCAATTCCAATTCAAGTCCTCCCAAGGGTAAGCTCACACTCTTTAGAGTACCAGGGAGGAAGGATGCAAGCCTCTGGCCCTGTTTGACATCTGGTGCATGTCCCCACTGTCACAGGATAGTTACCAATGTGACAATTTAGCGCCTACACGTGCCAGGCACCGTACGAAGTATCCTCTAGGTACTCAATTGCTTAGTGCTCAGAACAAGTTCTTCTGAAGTGGGTTCCAATACCACACCCATTTTCCCTGACAGTACTACTGAGGTGGAGCTGCAGAGAGATGATGCCTGTGTGCTCATGCATGCATTTGAGGGCCTGGCAGTGGGCCTGGTACACAGTAGGTGCTCAACAGAGACAAAGGAACGAAGGGTGGAAGGAACAGACCAGTAAATGAACATATGGGGATATATAGCTGTGGCCAGAGCCAGTACTGACTGAGGTGTGGGCAACAACCCACAGCAGGGGCTCAGCCACACTCCTACCTGAGAACAAGGCCTGGAAGGGGCTGGGGGCTTCCTTCTGCAGCTCCAAGTCCTTCTTCTCAATGACATTCTCAGGGGCCTCTTCCTTGCGGGTGATACCAGGGGTGGGCGGAGGGGAGGCGGGGGGCGGGCTGGTGGGGTGGGAGCTGGGTGTGGCAGGGTAGGTGTAGGCAGGCGGTTTGGAAACGTCCTCCAGCTTCTGGATGACCTTGGCCTTCAGGGCAGCCACAGGGGAGGCGCGGGGAGAAGGCGGCGGGCTCATGGCCTTGCTGTAGGTGCCCGCAGCACCAGTGGCCAGACCAGGGGGCTTCCGAGGCAGAAGCCCAGGGCCTGTGGCAACCAGGCCAGCCTTGCCGGCAGCCTCCAGGCTCCTCTTGCTCACCTTCTCCTCCATCTCTGCCCGGTGGTCCTGGGCCTTCAGCCGCTCCTGCTGGGGAGGGGTCCGGTAGGCAGGGTTAGCATGGCAGGACCTGTTGCCTGCCACCTGCCCTGCCTCCGGGTCCCTCAGCTATGGAGAACTCAGGGCAGGGTCTGAGGTAGAGGATGCCCACTCCCCAGCCAGAGATGGACATTCCGTCACAGCACACGGATAACAAGCACAGTGTTCCTTGTAGAATCCAGCAGATGGGAAGGAGGCGACCTTAGGGGGCTGAAAGCCTGTCCACCAGGGCTGGCGTGGGACCTCACGGTCAGGATGAGGGGGACAGCGGAAGCATGAGGCTCCTGAAGATGAAGGAGATGACCTGCTCCCCAGCACCTCAGGGCATTGGCATAGCTCCCTTCATGGAGAACTCACTATCTGCTGCAAAATACCTCAGGGGGCAGGGGGAGTCTTTCCCAGCTCAGCTCAATGACTTTGAGGGAAAAGGAGAGAGCTGGCACAAGGGCATAATGCTCACTTGCCCAGGGCCAGGCAGCACATGAAACCCAGCCACTCTCACGGTCATTAAACCTCAATGGGAGTCACTAGTTTCTCTGTGTTCAGAGGTAGAAACTGGAAGCCCAGAGAGGTGAAGTCACTCGCCCAAGGGCACTGTTAGAGCCAAGGTTCAACCCAGGGCCCAGCTGGCTGCAATGCAGTGCCGCCGCTGGGCTCCTCCAAAGGGGCTGCCGACCCATGGGGGAGGGACATGGGCGAGCTGAGGTCGGATGTCTGGACGCCTCTGAGGAGGTAGAAGAGCTGTGGGCTCTAGGAGTCCACCCACACAGGGGACCCTGCATCCAGCTTACAGATCAGGTGACATGGGTGTCACAGGCCAGTCCCAACCTAGGGCCATTAAGTGGGCAGCCAGGCTAGTCTGCCCGAGAGGAGGAGGTCGGGCTGGGCTCAGGACACTACAGAAACCCGTTGAGACCCCTGTGGCATCCAAGGCAAATGTCCCTGTCCATGAGACCCCTCCTGCCTCAGCCACTCACTGCTCCCTACATCCGCCCTACTGGCCTCCAGGCCCTTCTGGGTCTCCCTCACACTGTTCCCTCTGCCCAGAGGACTCATCCACAGTTGAAGCCCCCAGGTGTCTGGGCAAATGTCACCTCTTCCCAGGGGCCCTCCTGTCTTTCTGCCGTCACAGTCCCTAAATGTTTGGAGACCCTGCTGGTTAATCTGTCTGCTTCCCCACACACAGGGGCTCCGGAAGGGTCCCATGTGGCCTCCCCCACTGCAACTCACCACCAGCTGGGCACTCCTCTGCAGCTCCAGGGCCTGGGCTGCCTGCTGCTGCAGGTACAGGAGCTCCTGCTGCCTCAGGAAGTGCTGCTGGGAGAAGAGCTGAAGCTGCTGCGCGTGGTGCAGGGGACCGCGGCCCGGCGGGTACAACGCAGGCCAGAGGGGTGGCACGGTGGCCCGCTCCATGAGCTCCGCTGGGGAGACAGACAGGAAGGTGCACCCAATGCCCACATCACTCATGCCGTGGCTTGGATGCTGGGCCCGCGGAGGGATGCTCCCAGGGGGCCAGAGCTGGGCGTGGCCTGCCCTGCTCGCCTCCAGTGGGCCAGGCACCCACACCCCTGGGAATGCAGCCCTGTCCCCACTGCTACATGGACATCCCTGAGGCTTCAGAGCTGGAACCGGCCCTCACTGGACTCCAACTCCTGCTACACCCAGTGGTCTGCAGGAAGGGTTCCCAGGGGTACCTCTTTGGTTGTCTACATGGTGTTTCTGAGCAGGAGCTCATCAAAACAAGGACCTCCCGTGCTTTACACAAGGGAACCACGGACGTCAGAACTCCCAAGTGCGTCTGCCTCCCACCCCGTTCTACTGGGCTGATACTCCCAACAGAAACTCTGGGTGTTTGCGTCAGTCTCTGTGGGCAAGGCCAGCACAGCCACTGTCCCAACCATGGGGCTGCCACTTACCAAAGTGAGGCAGGTGATCACTGGGAATGACCACCAGCTGGCCCGACTGGGGGTCCCTAACAAACTGGTAGGCCGACGGCAGGGAGCCTCCCAGGCCAGGAGGGAAGGCAGGTGCCAAGCCCTGGTGCAGAGACGGGGAGCCCAAGCCTGGGAGAGACCCAGGCCAGAGTCAGTGATGGGCTCACCCACACCCTGCCTACCCCCAAGAGCCAAGGGCTGGCTGGCTGCAGGCACGCCCACAGCCCCCCACCCCTAATTTCTGTCCCCAAAGGGTCTTGGCAAAGGAACCCCAAAAGGCCAGCACTGTGGTAATTACCCTCCCAGGACAAATGAGGTGCAGCGTGGGAAGGAGAGGCAGCATGGCACAGGCCTGGCCAAGAGAAGACAGGAGCCAGCTCAGCGTGGGCCCCACATGCAACTCCGTCCCGAAGGCAAGGGAGAGATGGCCCGGCTCACACTCACCGTAGGGGTGTCCAGCGAGCCACATGGACGTGTTGCCCGAGCGGGGCAGCCAGGGGTGAGTGGCCAGGTGGGCCGCGGGGTCAGCAGACCAGCGACCAGAGCCCGCCAGCGCGGGGCCCCCAGTCACCATGAGGTTGGGGTTCAGGCCATTAGCAGCACAGCTGGTGGGGTGCAGGCGGGCCAGGTCGGCCAGCTCCTTGCTCTCTCTGGAAGGGAACAGAGGTATCAGCGACTGCCCAGATGGCCCCTGCGGATGAGTGCAAGAGAAGGGGTGTCGCCCCAAGTAACCGATGGACAACCAGGCCACCACGGGGACAACACACCCAACACACGGAAAAGCCAGCTCAGGCTCCAAAGAGGAGGGCCCCCAGGGCCTTCCCCACAATGGGGTCCCCGCTCACTGGAGAAGGGCTGTGGGACCACCTGGCCCAGAATCAGAATCACAGGCCAGGACAGCGGTCAAGGGGCCATGCCCATGGAGGGTCATCCACCCCACCATAAGGCCCCCAGGCCCTCACCTGAGCAGTTTCTCCTGGTCCCGGTCCAGCCGCGCACCCAGCAGCCGCTCCTCCCGGTGCCTGGCCCGCTCATCCCCACATTCCTCATCTGCTCGGCTGTGCCCTGAGGAGGGCAGGTCAGAGGTCAGCCCCCAGCCCAGGGCCCCAACAAGGCAGGCCTCAGCAACTGAGTGCTCCTGCCACCATGGCACGCCTGTCCTCATGGAGTACCCATGTCCCTCTAAACCCCAGCCAGGCGTCCTCTGTGCCAGAACACGTCCCTCATCGCCCCAAAGGGCCTGTCTGTAACTGCGGATGCCACAGTAAAAAGATCACGCAGTAACTAACAGGACACAAGGCCAGGGGCATTCGCTCACGCTACTTCACCAATTTAATGCCAGGAAGGCAGGTTCTGGGCTGGGGCTCGGGGAAGGAAAGGAGATGGAGGGGAAAACCACAACCCAAGTACAAGCCCTTGGTCAGAAGCACGGCCAGACCCAGGTCATGGGAAATCAGCCGCCATGCCGAGACCCCACTGAGGCCCCGTCATGGTTCTGTCTGCAGCAGACACATCAGTCTTTCTAAAACTGAGACAGAAAAGTAAAACCAGGAGCACCATCCATGTGGTGGGAGCAGAGGGCACAGGGCTGTGGCCCAGAGCCTGCCCAGCCCTGCCTGCAGCCCAGCCCAGGGCCTGCACCTGCCATGAGCTCCTGACCCCTCAGAACAGAGGAGGTGGGTCCCCAAGACCAGCCTGGCACATGGCCAGTTACTAACAGCGGGGAGGCCAAGGAGGGCACCACAGTCCATCCCTCCTCACCCTGTACCCTCTGCTCCAGCCCTTCTCCCTGGGTGTCCACCCCCCAGCCCCTTCCCATGTCTGAGAGATCCAGCAGCCTCAGGAGGTGCATTCAGCAGGGGGCTGCCCCCAGCACCTGGCATTCAGATGTCACGGCTCTGTAGGCACCCGGGGCCCCCTGGCGGCCCCACTTTCCTGGCCCTCATGGGCAAGGACGCCACTTGGAATGTTGCTGTCAGGTGTCTGCCCTCCTTGCACCCTCAAAACTAGGAGTTTCCCAAGAAACTCCAGAAGAGGCTTAGGAACACAAGGGCTCCCCTCTTTCCCTTAAGGAAGGTGGGAACCCATGAGCCCCAGAACAAAGGACAGGAGACAGAGAGAAGGCACAGGACACAAGCCCAAGTGCCCACAGCCATGAGTGCCAGGACAGCCCAGCAGCCCACGGATCTGGAGAGGCTGACGGTGGGAGCGGTTTGGGGTGGGACCAGCCAGGGAGCCCCTGGCTTCAGCATCAGCAAGGCGCCCGTATGAAAAGGGACCCTGAGCCCGCCGGCCTCCTTCCCCCAGGACTGTAAGGGGCTCTGCTTATAGACCCCCAGGGAACAAGGCCCACAGGGCAGCCCTAGTTTTAGTTAAGGTTGGGGTGTGGAGGGCCACCCAGAGTCCAGAAGCTGGGGTGGGAAATCAGAGCATGTGCCCAGGGACACATGGCCTCACAGGCCCACAAAAGCCCCAAGGGCTCTCACTCCATGGGCCACTGGAGTCAGGAACAAGCTTTGACACAGAGCTGGTGTTCCCAGAAGGGACAGGTGCTAGAGTGCGGCCTGGCCCCAAGCCCTATGTCCTCTGGCCCAATGCCTCTCCACTGCCCTGGCTGTCACCAGCCAGGGGCTCCGGCTTCCCATTCCAGGCCCCACCTGCCACCAGAAACCTGTCTGCAGGCCCCCAACCTCGGAGCATCTTCCATCCCCAGGCCACTCAGGCCAGAGTCCCAGACGGCTCCCTCCAAATTCACTTGATCTCCGTAGAAATGTGACATGCCCTCCCCTTCCGTGGGCTCCCAGTCAATCCCTGAGTTCCAGCTCTGCCCTCATCCTTCTGCATCAAGCTGTGGCCGCTAACCACTGTGCACGCTTGGGCCTTCTATGGAGCCCCAGCCCCAGGGAACCAAGGCCCTGCCTTCGCCCGGGCCTGGCTCATGCATCTGGCCAGCCTCTCCAGTGTACCCCCAGCTTTCTGCCTTGGCTCTGTGCAGCCCAATCACACTCCAGGCCACACACACTATTCCCTCCACCCAGAGTACCCTCTCCTCTGGGCTACTCACCCTCCCCCATTAGAGCTCAGCTCAAAGGCCACCTCCAGGAAGCCCTCCTCGGACACCTCTGCCATCCTACTCCCTTGTCTCCCTCACAGCAATGACCACACCACACAGTTATTCTGCTTGCTGGTAATTTGCCATCTGTCTCCTTCTTCAGACTGTGCATTTCTGTTGAGCAGCCCCTACTCCTGGCTGTCTACCTCTCCCCTACACGACGCCTAACACAGGAGCTGCTCAATAAATGTGTGAATGAACACATGGACAGATTCACATACATCTAGAGAAGAGTGAGCTCCACAGAGTGCTCAGCAAGCGCAAAGGCCCTGAGGCAGATGTGTGCTGATGAACCTCCAGAAGGCCACACAGCAAGAGAACAAGGAAGGAGAGGACGTAGATGGTACCACGGGGGCAGCCGGTGGGTGTGGGGCACTGTAGGGCCTTGCAGGGCATGAAAGGGAATGTGGTTCAGGATTTGCCCAGGATAGCAGGGAAAGCCAGAGAAATTCAGAGCAGGATGAGACACGAACTGCCTGTGGCTGTGAGGGGCTCCCCCTCCCTCTGGCCACCTGTAGACAAGCACACCCGAGGGCCCAAGGCCTCTCCATGCTGAGCTCCAGGCTGGGGGCACCAACTCCCCCAGAAGGCAGGCATGTGGGGCACATGTCACCTGTTCCAAGGTCCTAAAGATCCCAGACCTCACACCCCAGGCCCTCCAGGTGTGAGCTGCAGAGACGACAGGCACTGAAGCACCACCTCTGTGCCAACTGGGCCCAGGACCTCTCCGCCCTCACTCAGTAGCCCTCACCCCCAGAGGTGGGTCCCGCTCCTCACCCCATCCAGACAAGGAAACTGAGGCACAAGAAGGTTAAAGCACCTGCCCAGGTCACACCACTAGCTGACGAGTCATCGTGGCTGAGGGCAGGGTCCCACTGAGGAGCACGTGCACATGCCCCCCGCTCCCTGAGGGGCGCAGCAGGAGCACTAGTAAATTACTGCCACCTCCATTTGCAGCTCTGCCCCTGGACCCCATGCTCCAATCCTAGCCATAATGGCTGAGGTTTGGACTGAGGCCTGCTTCCCACGGCAACCCCTCCCAGATTCACTTTGGCAGATGTGGCCCCTGCTAGCCCTGGCCGATTTGGTGCTCACTAGGGTCTGTGGCCATCACCACTGCTTACACCACACAACCCCAGCTATGATGGGGGACACCTCCCAGTACCCCCAGATCTGATCCCTCACTCGCCTCCACCATAGAGGTAACGACCAGGCAAGGCAGAGAAGTAGGAGACACAGGCCTGGACTTAGGGTTCCAGCTCAGCCCACCTCTTCTAGGCAAGTGACCCTGGGCAAATCCCTTCCCCTTCGCAGGCCCCGCTCTCCCTGTCCTTCACAGGGCTGTTGGGCAACTCAGGCATGGGGCACCAGATTTCAGGACTCATGGGTATAAATGATGCCTGTCCTTACTGCATGCAACCTTAGGGTGTGAGACAGCCCCCCAAAACCAGACCAGACCCTATATGAGTACTTGGGGGCATTTCTCCAGAAGAATCCAGAGCTGGAGGACATTGTCAGAGGTGCTGAGACCCTCACACCCTGGATGTGAGCAGAGGAAAGGCAGGCCTATTTATAAAGCACCTACCACGTGCCTGTCAGCCCACCTGGCATCGAGGGACAAGGCTGTCCTCGATGCTGCCATGTGGTGGATGTGGAAACTGAGGCCCAGAGGGCTTAGGGTTATTATTCAAGGTCATGCAGCTGCAAGGAGCAGAGAGTGAATTTGAACCCACTGACAGGCAGGAGGTTCACTCCACAAGGTAGGAGATAGAGAAGCCAGGAAGAGACCAGGAAGCCAGGGGTTGATGACTACCCACTTGGCCAAGGGTATCCCCACTCTCCCCCTCCATCCAGGGTGCCTAGCAGTGGGGAAAATCCACCACTTATGGGAACTTTCTTAAAGAGAAGAATACAGCCACATGCTTTTCTACAGTCAGCAGCAGAGAAAGACAGCTTTCTCTGAGACTTGCTTCCCACGGCAACCCCCTCCCAGATCCAGTGCCTAGTCCCCGGCTGTCATAGACTCCCTCCCAAGACACTTCCCTCCGTCACACATGCACACATGCTGTCACACATTCTCACACACACTATTCTTAGACATACACACTCTGTCTCACATACACACACATACACACTCAGGACCCCATGGACACAGGTCCCTTGGGCACAGGCAAGTGCTCTGGGCTCCAGAATAAGCTCTGGGGACCATGAGCCCCCAACAACGGTGCCACGCTGTGCCACATGAGTATTCTTCCAGGGAAAGGACGTCTCCCAGGGGTGTCCCAGCCCTAAACCTCTGTCCTATTAGGAGGGCTCACCCATCACCCAGCTGAAAACCTCCAAGCCAAGGTTGGAGGGCCTCGTGCCAGCCCCCCAGGGTCAGAGGATGGGCTTTCCTAGCTCAGGGACGGGGGCAGGGCTGCAGGTGTGGAAAGAACAATGGGCTCAGTCAGTCATTCAGCCAACAGCCACTGAGTGTCGCTCACTCTAAGTCACTAAGGCCAGATGAAGAGCCTCTGCAGCCACTGTGTGCATGCCGGTGGGTGGGGCGGGGCCGGTGTGGGGCCCTGGGCAGCCTCATGTCTTACTGGGCTGGTCTGGGAGAGCAGCCTGAGACAGCACGGCGTGACAAGACAGCGGCCGCTTCTGTGGACTAAGGATGATAGAGCCGAGGGGTCGGCTTAGGTGGGCACAAGGGGGCCAAAGGAAGGAATGGGGTCCCAGGAGACATGGAAAAATGCCTATAAAGCCCCTATGGGTAAAGTTTGGGAGATGCGGGAAGGGGGCCACATGAGGGCCATGAATAGGAGCCCTGGATGTAGATAGGCAAAGCTTGAGCTTGCAGCTGGTGGGTATGGGCAGTGTGCTGGGCACTGGGAACAGAGGCATGGGTGAGCAATCTGCGCAGACTGTTGAGAAGTCACACAAGCAAGGAGCAGGGAGAGACAGGCTTCCAGGGCCCTTACCGCAGCCTGGCAACCCCACACCAAGGCACACTGAACAACATCCATGCTCCGGGCAGGAAAACAGCTGGTGCCTGACCTGAAGGTGGGGGTCCTCTGGCTCAAAATGGGAAGACCAAGTCCTGAATCCCAACAAAAATGCCACAAATACCCATTCTCTAGAATCCCGGGAGGGATTCCAACAGCAAAATATGCAAGGGAACAAAGAAAGGGTAACCAACAGAGTTCTAGAAAAATATTCAATATTCAACTCTACCAATGATTGAAAGAAACGCACCATTCTTACCTACAGAAATTAGCAAGCCTTCTTTTTTAGTAATATTAAAACACAATTCTAAGATTTAACAGACCCAACACAGTGCTACCAGACACGTAAAATCTCCAACCTACCTAAGAAGCCTCTAACGCCTGAAGGCCAAGATCCATGAAAAACCATCGGGACCCCAGCTTCTCTCTGTCACACTGCATCACTCAATCTACTCATTCATCAACTACGCGCCAGGTCTCACACCAAGTACTGGGGACACTAAACTAGGTTAGGCACGGTTCTCTCCCTCAAGGACTTAGAATTGAAGGCCTAAAGCTAGTCTATTCCTAGGAACCTATTCTTAGAAAATGACTCAAAATATCACCAAAGGCACAATGCACAGAAATACTCAACATAACATTCTGAATACAAAAACATCAGAGAAGGGAAAACTAAAATGCCCACAAGGGAAATGGTTAACTGAACTGTGGTGCATGCTCTTGACAGAACAGTAAAGGCCATTAAGAAATGATACTTATGAAGAGTTTGCAATACATGCAGAGGCCCAAGATCCTATGTGCTCTAGGAGCTTGGCAGGTCGAAGCAAATAGCACAGGAAAATGAATACTGGGAAAGATCTGAATGTGTTCAGGGTGCTGGGAAAATAGAAGTGTTTTTTTTTTTCATTCTCCTTTCCTCCATTTTACATGTTTTTCTATGCCCATCATAGAAAAACCAATAAACTTTAAATAGCAGCCTCAGCCCAGGAGTGGATATTATAGAACAAATGGTAGCAGGAAAATGGGAAGAGTAGGGAGTAGGATGAATAGAGAGGAGGCTAGGAGACAGGTAGAAATGGAAAGCAGAGGGTGGGGGGAGGGGGAGGGGGAAACCCAGACCCACCTTTGACATTGCTCAGCGACAGGGAGCGCTCCTGGTCCACCAGGCCAGGCCCCAGCCGGCCACTGCCGCCACTGTCCTTCTGCCGGGCCACAGCCACCGCAATGCCAACGGGCGGGTGTCGAACCTCTGCCTCCCCCTGGGCACCCGAGTTCTCACGCCCAAAAGCCTTGGCGCTCTCGGGCCTCTCCGGGTCCCGCTTCAGCTGCCGGCCACCACCTGCTGCAGGGCCCGCAGGGTGGAGGAGGCGGCTCTGGGTGCGCGGGGTACCTGCTGCCGTGGGGGCAGGCTCAGGTTTCATGGTGCCTAGGCCTCCAAAGGGGCTCTTCTTGCCGCAGCCACCAGGGCGCACAGCCACAGCCTCGCGGGCAAAGCTGCCACTGTACTTGATGAGACTCTGCATGGCCGAGGCCTCTCCAGGCCCATGGGCCACTGCGTGCACGTCAGCGCCCGGCCTGGAGCAGGTGGCCGCGGCGCGGGGCAGTGCACCCCCGGGGTCCAAGTAGGCCTTCTTGGAGACAGCCGTGGCCTCCTCGTCGGCGCGGCTGGCGTGGTGATGCTGCGCAGCCAGCACAGCCATCTGCGTGGTGGCAAAGTTGCCCAGCTCGAAAGGCTTCCACTTATGGTCAGGGCCGGTGGGCGGGGGCGGCCGCCCGGGCTCCAGGCCAAAGAGCTTGGCGGCCTGCTGGGGAGCGGCGGCGGACGCTCGGAGGGCGCGCTCGCAGGGCCTCGGCTCGGCCTCGGGCTTGAGCAGTTCCTTGGCCGGGAAGTAGGCGCGGGCGTCCGGGGAGGCACGCGAGGTCCGCGCCGGCGGGGCCTCGGCGGGAGGCGGCCGCTTGAGCGAGCGGATCACTGAGTTCTTCTCGCGCAGCACCTCAGGCCTGTCCAGGAGCGGCCGCGGAGACCCGGGCGGCGCCTGTAGGACTCCGGGCCTGCCTGCATCGCGCTCCCGAGCCCGGGCGTCGCGCGCCTGCGATGCAATCTGGATGGGCCCCGGGCGCTCGTCGAAGGCCTCCACGGAAGGCACAAAGGTGGGCGCCACCACGCGGTGCTCACGGCCGGGCTCTCGCGCCGCCGCGGCTGTGGGGAAGATGGTGTAGACGCCGGCGGGGGCGGGCTGGGGAGCGGCAAAGGCCCCGGCCGGGGCAGGAGGTGCGGGCGGGCCCTTGCCAGGCGGCAGCGGTAGCGGTGAAGGGCAGGGGCACGGCCCAGGCAGCAGGGCCTCTGCGCGCCGCAGGCGCACAGTCTCGTCCTGGCGCGCTGCCTCCTTGGCGCCGCGGGCCGCCTCAGCCACCAGCGCTGGGAGCCCCGCATCCCCCGTGCCATTGCAGAGGCTCAGTGCCGATGGCAGCGGCAGGTTCTTGCCCTTGGAGTCAGTGGTGGCCACGCCCGGTGCCCGTGGTGGCCCCAGCTCTCCCAGGAAGGGCGACAGGCGCTCAGCGAGGCGCGGGGGTCCGCGGTCCTGGCGGCCCTCTGCCCGCGCCTCCTGAGTCAGGTCCACAACGCCACGCATCCCCGCCGCCTCCTCGCGGGCCCGTGGGTCCTTCTTTCCGAACAGTGGGGGCGGCTCCCCGCCGCGGCTTGCCCGCTCCTTGGGTGGACCTTCCCGCGATGAGCCTTTGGCAGGGGCGCCCGAGGAGTGGCTGCCGGGGGTCCTGGAGGAGGGTGCATGAGAGTGCGGGGCGCCTGGGGCCCCCGGGGCAGGCAGGTAGAAGCCGTCTGCAAAGAGCACAGGTGTAAGCGGCACCCTCCACTGCCAGCACCAGGGCAGGAGGGGCAACCCCAGCGTAAAGAGGGCAGACTCTGGAAACGGATACCCAAATCAAACCTTGCCTTGGCCACCCACCAACCTTTCTGAGCCTCAGTTTCCTCATCTGTGAAGAGGGAGAGGACATGGTGGTTTTACAAGCTGCCCAGAAGGCTTAAGAGGCTTTGATGAGCAGAGCACACCCAGAAAGCAGCAGAAGGCTATGGGTGAGCCCAGTGAACCTCTGGGGGCTCTTAAGGGCAGGGATCTTAGAAAACAGCTGGGTGCTGCCTGAATTCTGTGGGTAGTGGCAGGGGTCCCAGAGAAGCCCCTCCAAAAGTCTCCCTACCCCCAGTCTCCCCACCCCTGCCCCTAACCTTTCTGGGTATCGAAAATACTGGGCTGGCCCAGCTGGCTGAGGAGGGGGCTCCCACTGCTGGGGGGCTCCAGGTGGTTCAGGTGGAGGTAGGATGGGTACAGCCCACTGGGCAGGTGGGAGAAACCTGGAAAAGAGAGAAGAGAGAAGCGGGGCTGGACCACCTCATGCCTCCCGCGAGGAGTGTCCTTCCATCCTGCTCTTTTCCTTGTAAATAAACTACCTTAGCTGTCAGCCCCCTGGTGCAGGGAACCTTGAGGTTTACCTCCAACTCCCCAGGGCAAGGTTTGCTCCCCTCACACTCTAGCACTTCAGGCCTCCCTCCAGCCCCACACACCCCCATCCCAGGGGCTGGGGCTCTCAAATCCCCCAGGTGGATCAGAACGGCCCACCAGGAGGGTGGGCGACAGTGAGGTTGAGGATGGCGGCTCTAACCACTCGCCAAGCTTATTCTCATCTACATTTCAACAAAACAAAACCCTGTAAGGCAGATACTCTTGATATCCCCATTTCATAGATGAGAAAACTGAGGCTCAGAGAGGCCCACCAGCTCTAAGACACACAGCACAGGTGCCTGGCTTTGAAACAAGGTCACTGGGACTCAACCTCAGCTCAATGCTGATCTGGCTGAGTGATTTCCTGGTGTTAACAGGCCCCTTCTCTGCTGTGTGACCCCAAACGGTCACTCCCCTTCTCTGAACCTCAGCCCACCCAACATTTCTGGCTGCCATGTCTCCTAGGCAGGTGCTCCCAGCAAGGAATTCCTTGTGGTGAGGATCCTCCAGCCTCCCATGAGGCCCCCCACCAGTGACACCCACAATCAGGGCTTTGCAAGGCAGAGAAGACAGGAAATAGCCATAGAAAGAGAAACAGGATGACTAAGAGGACACATGGGGAGATAGAAGCTCAAGAGCCATGCAGGAGGGCCCCAAAGGCTAGGCAGGAGAGGGGCACCAGGGAGGATCCTACCACTCTGCCCTGGCTGTGGGTCCTATGGGACCACAGGCGGGCTGGCAGGTTGGACTGAGGTCCCATATGCCCCCAGCTGCTCTCACTGAGGCCAGGATGCAGGACCTGCCCCTGGCCACACTGGGCCCAGGTCTTCTCCCATGGCACCAGCTGATCACGACATTAACAGCCATCACAAAATAATAAAGGCCATCCGGTACACATTATCTCATTTAATTACTGAAACAACACTCCTATGCAGGTATTGCATCTCTCTACTTTCTCATCTGTAAAATGGGCATAATGGTCCCTATCTCACGGTTTGTTCTGAGGATAGTGAGTTCAAGTGTGCAACGCCTGGTACGCAGTAAGCAGCCTCTCAGTTTGCTACCATCACTAGCATTATTAGAATTTGTTAGCAAAGGAGAAAAGGGAGTAAAGAAGGGCAGGAAGGCAAGCTAATGGCAGACAGGTACAAGGGACAGCCCCTCCAGCCCCCACCCCAGCCGGTGAAAGTGGGAGGCTCAGGTGGGACCCCAGTCCCAAAGGACTGCCCACCATCCTAGGGCTAAGGCAGGACTACCCACTGTGTGTGGGGTATACAGCATTCGGGATGTTGGTGGAAACACTCGGTGAGCCTTGGGCCCAGAGAAGGAGGTGGGGAACCTGTGCGCTCAGGAAGGTCCTGAAAAGACCTCAGCCTGCAGTGCAGGTAGGTCGCAGGACCCAGGGCACCTGAGATGCCCAAGAGGCAGCAGGAGGGAGCTGGCACCCAGCATCCAAGATCCACCAGAACCAGAGAGCAGCTGAGGATCCCCCAGGCCCATCCCTTCACTGACAGAGGGGAAACTGAGGCTCCAGGGAGGGCTAGTAGGAACCCAGGCCCTCAGACTCCCCACATTTAGAGGCAGGGACCAATGGGCTGGCCCCACTGCTCGCAGTTATAATGAGCTAACTGCACCCAGAAGACAACCACAGGCAGAACTGGGCCCTGTCCTCAGAGCTCATTCTGGTGGGAAAAGGGATATTCCACAAATAGAGAGAGACAGACAAATCCATCATCACAAGTAAGGGGATGCATGCTTGAGCTGAGCCCTGAAGGATGAAAGGAAACAGCCAGTGGGGTGGGGCGGGGTGGGGTGGGGCGGGGCAGGGTAAGGGGCTGCAAGCAGAGGGAAGAGCTCATGCAAAGGCACTGTAACAACAAGAGGAAGCACTGAACATTTTAAGAACAGCAGGGAGGCCAAGTGACCAGGGATGGGTCTCACTGGCCACAGCCGGGAGGGTTGACTGTGGCCGTGGAAGGGGTGGGCAGGATGGAAAACACTGGGGACAGGGGCCCAGCAGCCCTCGGCCCCACCCGCCTGGCACGCTCCTTACCTTCATGGGCATGGGCAGCCCACAACTGCACCATGGGCAGGTTGCTGGGGGTAGGGGAGCGGAAGGAGAGGTCAGAGGGCAGGGGCACTGGGCTCCCATGGGACGAGGCTGAGGGCCCCATCCCGCTGGCCACAAAGCTGCCCAAGAAGGCCTCGCCTGCAGAGAGAAGGGGAGCTGTCAGGCAGTCACCAGGCCACCACCACCTGGCCCACTCTCCCACACACCCCCGGCCCACCCCAGCCCTGCCCCCTGATGTCAGGACAGCCTAGGTCAACTCAGCACACCTGGATGGGGCCTGAGACAACTTCAAGTGAGACCCCAGGGGTAATGACCAGAAGGAAGGCCACTTTGGCAGACCCTCGCCTCTGGAAGGGTTTCACCATCCCCAGACCCAAGGGTCTGCGGTTCCTCCCATCTCCAGGTGAAAGCTGGGATGGGAGGGGCAGGTATCTCCTGAGACCAAAGAGTGAGGAGGTGGAGGGGCTCATGGTCTGCACCCCGCCCATGTGCTCAGCTCCTGGACCAGGGAGGACACCCACAAGTTGGACAATGATCTCACTGAGGACCCCCAGGCAGCTCTGGACTAACCCAGACCTGCCGAGTGCTCAGCTGGACCATGCAGGTATGTGACCATTTAACGGCTGAGCAAGCAGAGGCTCAAAGGTGGGAAGGGCCTGGTCCCCAGCCAATGAGCAGTGACTCAGTCCACACCCAGCACTGTCCCAGAACTACAGCGAATTAGCAAAAATAGCAGAGTACTTAGCAGGGGAGTTGATGGCAGGCCAGGAAGCCTAGGCCCAGCAGCCCTCCCTCCAGAGAGCAGGACTGCCCACCCAGGGTCCCTCTTAATGGGGGAGTGGTGGCCACCTGAGGCTTGGGGAGGAAACCACACCCACCCCTGCACACCTGGTTTGGCCAGGCCCATGGGGGAAGGGACAGCTCCTCACTCTCACCACCCAGGGGCACTGCCCCTCAAGATCCACACACCCCACCCTTCAGGGGAAGACCCTGGCAGGCCTCCAGGTCACAGTCCAGAGGGAGTCCAGGGGACTTGGACAAGGAGCTGCCCTTTTCCGGCCTCAGTTTGCTCAGCATTAAAATGGGGATAATGATGCCTCCCTCCAGGCTTGCCATAAAGAGGGAAACATCATTTAACCCGTCCACTGAAGGCCAGCGCCAGGCGGCCTGCGGATACTTGAAGCCCACACGCCCTCAGGGGAGGGGCTGAGGCCTGCACACAGAGCAGAACACAGGGCCGCCAAGCACCAGCGAGCTCAGGGCCTCCCCATGTCCACTCGTGTAACCTCTCTGCATTCCTGGGGGCACTGTCTGCCCTGGCCCAAGGAGTGCAGTGACCAGGTGGTACGTGGGACTCAGGCACCGGGGCGGCCCCAGCCTGGCCCACAGGGGTCCTGCAGACACCACCCAACTTCTGGATCCCTAGCAGCCCTGGATGCCGGGCCTGTGTGCTCACTCACCACCTCCGGGGGCCCAGGGCCCCAGAACGCCCACACAGTCCCTTTGGGAAACCAAGCCTGCAAGGGGCGGGGCCCCCAACTTGGCCCCCCAGAGTGGACCCGGCAGCAGGCGGGAGAGACGGGAGGACACCTCCTGGCCTCATGCGCCATCCCCGCCACCCCACATCTGGGCCCCCACACTCCTGCCCAGCCCCGCCCAGCCTCCTCACCAGACTCCAGCACCAAGCCCTCGGGACCCAGGGCCATGGTAGCCGGCCAGTCCGCCCATGTGGCCCAAGCCCGGGCAGCAGGGCCTCTGGGCCCCACCAGGCCCCAGGCTTCCTCCTCAACAGACAGGCGGGTAGAGGCTCCGGAAGCCAGCAGCCAGAGGTTTGCGCAAGGGCTTACATCAGCCGCCAGTTCTTCCTGCCTCGGGCTGCGCGGAAGCCTGGGGCCCAGGCCTGCCTCAGCCTGGGCTTGTGAAACCCGCCCAGCAGCACCCCCGGCCCAGCAGGGCGTTGTGGCCCAGATGCCACCAACGGCTCTCGCCTGCCAAGGACTCACCAGAGCCCAAACTCCCTCCCCAGGCTGGCTGGGATGCTGGTGCCCTGGCAAGACTGCAGGCAAGTCTGTGCCCCTCCAGGAGCAGCAGTTTGCAGCTCTCTAACACGGAGCACACCATCCACACCTCACCGCCAGCCTGGAGGGCAGTACGCACAACGGGGCATTTATTTGCACATTTATATTCACGGCCCCACCCCTCCCCAAATCCTCCTTCTGAAGCAGCAGGGTGATGGATCTCGAATATAAATTAGATCACTTGCCGATTGCCAGGACCCTGCTGCCTGCCTCCCTCCTCTCTGACTGACCCTCAGGCACCAGTCCCTAGCCCTCCAATAGACCTGTCCTAGCTCATTTCCACCTCAGGGTGCCCTGAGCCTCACAGAAGCCCTCCCAGCCACACGATCCAAGCCCCAGTCGCTGTTCCTGCCCAGGACAACCTGGGAACTAGACTGGCTCCCCCAGTGGGTCCAGGGGGTCCCTCCCTGCAAGTGAAACTGTCTGTCTCATCCACATCCTTAGTGCCAAGAACCTGGCATGCAGGAGGCATCAGCTTTTGGACTAACTGACCACATGAGCATCGTTTCAAATTCTCTGAGGGCAAAAGCAGATAGACGCACGTTCTTCGGGTTAGGGCTGGACAGAAGGTAAATGCAGCCCCTGACCCATAGGTCGCCGTGCACCACACAAGAATGGTTAGGCCTCAGGGCTACTGGGGCGGGAGAGTCAAGTGGGAGCCCAATGGCCTCTCCCTAGACGCTGCAATTCTCAAGCACAGCCTGGCATGGGAGGGGTCACCCTGCTCCCACCCCGGCTGAGCTCAAGGCCGCCCCCTGGTGACTAGAGGTCTCCATGCCACCTCACCCACATATCTCACTCAAGGCCTTGGACGCCAACACAAATTACTGTGCCAAAGGAAAACACACATGTGTAACCATCTTGAAGTATCACCACTCATGATGATAACGGCAAATGCTAACCCCACGTGGACAGGCACCGGGCACCACAAGTGCTTAACCGCCTCACCTTCACGTGGAGTCACTCATGGAATCTTCTCGCTCGCCTCTCACAGGGCAGAGGAACGCCAAAGATCCCAAGTCACCTGGGGCTGATCACTGAGCCAGCGACCTGCCCTCCACCCCTCACACGCGGCACCAGGACACCTGTGCAAAGCCCGGGGACCAGCCCCATAACCCTTCCAGGTCTGCCCTGGACACCAGAGAGCACTTGAAGCATGGCTGGTGAACTGAGGAACCGCATCTTTAATTCCACTGCATTCTAATTAATTTAGACTTAATTTAGCCACAGTCTGGGCTGAAGCCTCCTCCCTACAGACAACTGGATGGAGCAGGGGCCATTCCTGGGGATCCCCAAAGGCACACATTGGCTCCGGCACAGACCTGTTCAGTGACGCTGGGCAGGTGTCATCTGCCCAGGCTGCCCAAGTGGGAAATACAGTAACATCTACTCCTCCAGCTGGATGTACAGATTAAACGAGCTCACATTTGTAAGATGTGTTTGTGAGGCACCCTACGATGCCAGCTATCATATTACTGTTATTATTTATAGTCACAGAACCTGGGGCTCAAAGAAGCCAAGCAGCTGCTCAAGGTCAGGGTCCGAGCGTGACCACTTCCTCTACCCAAATTCCATCTGTTCTTCCCTAAAATAACATTTAAATTTTGAAACTTGAGACAGCCCTTGGTTGCCCATTATGAATATGCTTAAGTATCACTGACTTGCACACTATCAAACGGTTAATTGCAAGTTATGTTATTTTCACCTGGATTTCAGAATCCAAACAGGTAGGCTCTGCTCTCCACCTCGGAATCCAGCCCAGCATCCCCCTAGCTGGGCCAGGCGGGCCCTGCATTAGCCCCTCTGCCCAGGGCACCCCAGGGCGCACAGGCACAGCTATTTCTGGGCTGACACCTCCCTTCCTGGCTCACCCCCCCATAGCCCTGGGTGCGAGGGGATCTTGTTACCCATTTTATACACAAAGAAACTGAGTCTCAGAGAGGCTGCCTGGGGTCACTGAGCCTGGGCCACCTGGTTGCTCAGTGGGTGCTACAAGCACACAGCGATGCCAAGCCTCAGCTCCAGAATCCCACCATGCCTGGCCCTCAGCTCCAATCCCGCCACTGTCCCCGAACCCTGAACGAAGGAAGCTCCCCACACACGGCTGGGCCCTGAGGTACTTGGAAAACAGTTTTCTCTGCCCCCTGTGCCCAGTGAGAGGGCAAGGATGCCCTGGGAGCAAAAAGGAGGCTATGGGGTAATGTGCCCCACCCCCTACGGCCTAGGAAAGGGTTCAGGATCTTCCAGGAACATAACCAGCAGGGAACTGGGCAGACATTCCATCCCACCAGGCCTTAGCCCCCCAGCCCTGTGCCCCTCTTCCTGCACTGAACTCTCAGGTGCCCCCAGCTGGGACCCACCCACATCCCAGCCTCCCCATGTCACACTGACAGCCGTAGACAAACACCTCAGAAACAGGGAGCCAGAGTCTGGGGTTTGGGCCAGCCTGTTCTCTGCAACTGCCACCCCCTCATGGACACCCAAGACACCCAAAACACAGGAAAGCCTTCAGGGGTTTGCCGACTCTGAGGCTGGCCTTGGTCACCGGAAGGTAGAACCTGAATCCAGAGAAGGTCCATCTGTCCCTCCTTCCACACTTATTCAAGGCTCCTGTGTGCTAGGGGCTGGGGACTGAAGCCCACCCAGGTGGGCTCTGCAAGGGGCTTGCTGTGCCCATCTACTGGCAGGGTACAAAGGTAAGGTGAGGCTACCCCAGCTGGCTGGTGGCCTCTTCCCTCCATAATGGATGGAGTTGCTGAGAACCCTTCCAGAAACTGACTATATAATGGGCACCTGAAATCCTCACAGATGGGAGGGAGCAGGGAGGGGACTTGATGAGGTCATGGTGCATACAAAGGTGGTAAACATTGAAGGATGCCAAGACTTTATCACTCCAAATGGGCTGGGTTGGAATATGCAAGAACACAGGCTCCTGTAACGCAGGGCCTTTGTACCTCAGCCTGGAATCCGTCCACCACCTGGTACAGTCAAATTCTCAGGATAATCGCACCTGGGTAGACCTCCTTCCCTTCTCTTACAGCTCAAGTGACACCCGGTGAA